GAAGTTTGAGGAGGCAGCAGAAGATATCCCGACCCGTGTCGTCTTCCCCACGCCTAAATCAGCTTGAGGTGGGGCATCCCCAACCTCAGCATCACCAACAGCATCACCAGCAGCATCACCAGCATCTGGGGCATTCCCAACCTCAGCATCACCGTCATCATCATCATCCTCGTCAATGGAATTAGTCCAATTAGCCTGCCATACCGGTTCGCTCTCTGGTGTTGGAGTACTGGTAGTACCTCGACTAAGAGACAACTGCCCCACAGTAGGGTGGCCGTCAGGACGCACTACATCCGCCTTCTTCTTCTTCCTTCTAACCTTAGGTGGATTTTTTTCTTCATTTTCCTTCCTACCAGTCGCCCGAAGTCTACACCGACGACCTTTCATTCTCTCCTTATTTCTCGCCTTAATCATATCCGGTTTACCCATTCCATGTCCAGACATCTTCAAAAAAAAGTTTGAATTATTAATAATGGAGTACATAAAGTAATTAATTTAAGATTTTCATAATTAAAATTATAAAACTAATAGTTTGAACATTTATGTTACGTTCTATGTAATAATTATTTACATAAAAATAATAATTAATCAAGGTAAAATTTTTAATCATTAAGTAGATAAACAAATTACTTTGAAATTTTGATTATTAAAATGATAAAAAAAAATGGTCCAACTGTGCGTTGACCGCGGTCAGCCGATGGTCAAACCGCGGTTTAAATGCGATACCTTCTTCTCCGGCGACGACGCGAGGACCTTCTTCTCCGGCGACGACGAGAGGAACGACGGCGGCGACGCGACGCGAGGGAGGAAGGCGCCGCGAGTGAGCGGCGGTGGCGGCGCCGCGGGCGGCGACTGGCGGCGAACGGAGCGATGGGCGGCGGTGGCGGCGAGTACGGGCGGCGGCGGCGAGATGCACAGGTGGCCGGTGGCGGCGATTTGCACTGGTGGGTCGGCGGCGGGTGAGAGGAGTCGGTGGGTGAGAGGAGTTGCAGGGGGAAGGGGTTGGAGTTTTTGAATTCAATAAAGGCTTGTTTGTTTAAGCCATTTTTGAGTTTTTCCTTAAGGGTATATAGGTAATTTTACATTTAAGTTAGGGCGACATTTAGCAATTATTATGGCGACATTTAGCGATTCAGATAATTATTGGGTACTATTGCTAGGCGATCACTGCCTGTCATTTGGCCTCCATGATATTTACTTTATGGTTATATCACGAGAGCGGATCCCATGACTAAGGGGGGGTCCTTAGTCACTTGACTAAGCCCCTCCTAGCCATTAGATCTAGACACTTCAATCCAATGGTTAAAAAGTGGGAAGGGCTATTTAATTAATGACAGGGGTAGTTTGGGTATTATGGAAAATTACAAAGTATACAACCGGGTTGACTTTGGAGGCTCCACCCCTATATAGAGGGGCTCCTTCCCAAAGTCAACCCGGGTGTTTTTTAGACATACAAAACAGTACGAACATGGTGGACAAAAATGACAAACTAGACCGACAATCCATACGAACTGAAAAAACACCCGGGTTGACTTTGAAGGCTTCATCCCTATATAGAGAAGTTTCATCCAAACAACCAGGTTGTTTTTTAGACATAAAAAAACATTACAAACATGGTTGACAAAAAATAACAAAGTTTACAAACATTACAAAATAACACAGCGTACAAACATTACAAAATATGTCAACAAACATCACAAAGCACTATCGCCGAAAAATTGTTCTCCGTCGACGATGGTCGTCGGAAAAAAATTTTCCGACCAGAAAATCTCTCTCTGCTACTGGGAAAAATCCCCAGTAAAAGAAAGAATAAAGAATGGCCATGGCATCGATGGCAATAATCCCGTCGTTTTATGCGTTACCAGTCTGATCATTTCTACTTTTTATGTGCTTTTTCCCTTGTTGGTGTCGTCTACTCCGATGGGCTGCTCATTTTCAGTCGTCTGATCGGCGAGTCCAACGGCGACGGGGAGCACAGCGCGGAGACGAAATATCCAGCGAAGGGCTGCCGGAAGATCACCGGCAAAAATAATACACGCGAGGGCCGAGGGAGATAGCTGCGATTTTTTTTATTTTAATTGTTAAATAAATGAAATGTGTAATTACCATCTTATCTTTCATTAAACTGGATAAATTAGGACCATTAGATTTTAATAAAGTTGAGTGGCTGAGATTGGCTTAGTCATGTGACTAAGGGACCCGTAGTCACCTGATCTTAGCCCGTTATATCACGGTCGTGTGACAATTATTTGAGCGGCGAATCTGCTTGGTTGGTGGTTGATTCTAGGGGACATCCGACCACCCACTTTATTCAACCTCGGATACATATGATATTTTGAGGTACTGCCTCTCTCTCTCTCAACTAGGGATGGCAATGGGTCGGGTTGGGTCGGGTTTTGCCAAACCCAAACCCAAACCCATGGGTTTATCCGTGAAAAAAACTCGGGGTAAAACCCACTGGGTTTGAAAAACTCAAACCCAACCCAACCCCCTGGGTATCCGCGGGTTCATGGGTACCCACGGGTTTTTGTCGTAAAAAATTTACAATAGCATGTTCCTATCAAAATTAAAGTCAAATATCAATCTCTCAATACAAATTATCCATATTTAAAACACCGTTCTAAAAAATTCAAACAAATCACAAATTAACTATACAAATTGTTCAACACCAATCTAGAAAACTCAAGAAAATTGAAGTAAATCATAAATTATCCATAAATAACATATTAATTGAAGGCGTCTTCCTTTCAATTAAGTTTCTTCACTCTCCACTCGATAACACAAACTTCATTCTACACAATTAGAAAGAAAAAAATTAGACATGTCTCCACAAACATAAATAAGATTAGTTGTTTAAAATATTAAATATACCTTGAAAATTAATTATATGTGTGGGCAGGTACCCACGGGTCGGGTTTACCTAAACTCAAACCCAACCCGGTGAATAGTGAACGGGTTTAAACCCAAACCCGACCCAAAACCCGTCAACACGGATTTTACCCGCGTTGACCGGGTTGGGTCGGGTGGGTACCCGTGGGTTCGGGTTTGGTTGCCATCCCTACTCTCAACAAGAAAAAATTTGACGTGATAACCAACTACTTGGCTTTAAACTACGTGGCACCCACCATGCACCCGCTATCTGGCACTCAAATGCACCACTTGGCTTTAAACTTGCATGCTTGACATGTACTCTCTCTTAGGCCCGGCCCAGGCCCTGTGCTGGTCTGACCCACAGCACAGGGCCTCATGAATTTTGGGGCCTCATAAGCCAAGCCCATAGAATTATATATATGTATGAAAAGAAATGGAAATTGGAAAAGAGAGACCGAAGGGTTTTTCTAGGCCTAGGGTCATGGAAAATTGGGCCGAATGACCACTTGAAAATCGGCTGAGCCTATTTTAATTTCTAATATTTTTTTTTTCATTTGGTTGGGCCTATTTTAGTTTCAAACCATTTTGTTTTTTTTAGAGAACTTTTGATTGGAAATTTTGATTGGTAAGCATTTTTAATTGTGAAAACTAGAAAATAAGAATAAGGTAGATTGAAGCGTAAGAAAAAGTGGATTCTAATAATTTTGTGACTAATGTATTTTTATTATTATTTAATAAATTTTATTTTTAATAAATTTGTGGAGAAATTTTTTTGGGCCACATTTTTAATTTTCGAATAGGGCCTCCGAATATCATGGGCCGGCCCTGCTCTCTCTGGGCAACTTCCTTGTGACAAAAATATGATTGAAAAATATACATAAATACTGCGGGCACAGGTGTATCTCGACGACATGTTTCAAGCAACATGTCCATACTCACTGTCGTCACTGACACACGTCCCCAGTCATCCCCCAAATTACACCATATAATCAATCTAGACTCTCCAACTAAAAGTAAGAGAGAAAAACTAGGGAAAAAGCCAGAGGGTGCCCACTATCATTAGTGTCTGGTGTCACTCTTCACTTGGGCTCCACTCCTCAATAATACCCTTTGTACTATCTCTTTTTCCCCCTCACCCCTCCAGTCGACTAACTTGAGCGTTCAGAGAGTGTCCCGTCGAGATAAGCAAGAAGACCCTTTTTGCAGGGACCAACCATACACAATACATTCAAAATCGTGATTTTACGTAGAAGCATTTTGGTAACCTAGAACCTTAAAAATGTAAACTTTTGAAAAATGCGTTTCTACGTAGAAGCATTTTGTTGACCTAGAAGTGTAAAAGTGTAAGGTTTAAAGTTTTAAAGCGAGATTTTGACTATATTGGTCGGATGTGACATCACTAAAGAGGGTCAAGATAAAAGGCGTTCATCGGCCCGCTTCAGTGCCCACCATAAAAAATTTGTCGTCGGCGACAACCACGACATCAACAAAAGCCTTACATTATATTTCTGATCTAACTGTTACATAAGAAATAACTATAATTTTGTTACCATTACAAAAATGACAAACTAGACTAACAAATTAAACTGACAAATCATACAAAATGGAAAAACAACTAGGTTGACTTTGGAAGCTCCATCTCTATATAGATGATTTCCGTCCAAAAGTCAACCAAGTTTTGATTTAGACAAAAAAAAAACATTACAAACATGGTGAACAAAAATAACAAAACTTACAAACATTACAAAAGAAACCGACAAATAGTATAAAGCATACTAACCGTACAGAATACCAATACTTACAATACAGACCTGTAAACTTGTATTACAAACCAATGAACACAAAGTATACAAATCATAACATAGAAGTTTACAAACTAGACAAACAAACATTACAAATTACATATATACAAATTAGTCATATAAACATTACAAATGTAATAGACAAAAATGACAAACAATACAAACCGAATTGATATAAACATTACAAACCAGACTTACATATATTACAAAATCGAACGACTAACATCACGAATTTGGTACTACCGCCGGAAAATCCTCCTCCGTCGCCCAAAAACTATCCTCTGTCATCGGATGTCCGAATACTCTCTCTAGCTCCATGCATCTTCTTATTTCATTCGCATATTATTACTCTTGCATTCTGCCTCAAAAAACGTTCGCCTGCTGATAATTATTGGGTACTATTGTTAGGCGATCTGCGATAACTGTCTGTCATTTGGCCTCCATGATATTTACTTTATGGTTATATCACGGTCGTGTGACAATTATTTGAGCGGCGAATCTGCTTGGTTGGTGGTTGATTCTAGGGGACATCCGACCACCCACTTTATTCAACCTCGGATACATATGATATTGAGGTACTGCCTCTCTCCCTCTCGACAAGACAAAAATCACAACAAATGCAAAATTGACGTGGTAACCAACTACTCATGACACGTGTCGACGAAGAGGAATTGAGCCATGGCGATCCCGCTGCTGCGAGGTTTGCACAAAACCTCCAGCGGGTGAACCCTGGCCATGGTCAACCCAATCCCCTCACCCATATCGATCTCCACCCTCTCATCAATCTTACCCAACTCAAACCCCTGAACCAGACCGCCCAAAGCCATCGCCACCACTTTCTTCCCAAGCAAATCCCCCGGGCAAGCCCTCCTCCCCGCGCCGAACGGAACCAGCCTGTACTTGTTCTCCTTCCTCTTCATCGCCGGCTCAGCTTCTTCAAATCTCTCCGGCGAGAATCTCTCCGGCTCCGTCCACAGCTCTGGATCCCTGTGCAGAGACCAAGCGTTGACTAGCAGCATCGCCCCCTTTGGCACGGTGTACCCGCAGACGCGCGTCTCCTGAGAGGACTCGTGCGGGATCAGCAGCGGCACCGGCGGGTACAGCCGGAGCGTCTCGTCGATTACGTTGTGAAGGTAATTTAGGTTCGGTAAGTCGGTTTCGTCTAACAGACGATCCGTTCCAACGGTTTGTTCGATCTCGGAGACCAGACGAGACATTGATTCGGGGTTGTTGAGCAGCAGAGACATCGCCCATTCCATTGTTGTGGAAGATGTCTCGGTGCCGGCGATGAGCATTATCTATAAAACAGCAGATTTCTTAGTTTCGGGGGCTTGATTGATAGAATTTGATAAAATGTGGACCATTTTGTTAGAGTGAGATAGTATAAGGACAAAGTGGTAATTTGAGACTGAATTGGTCAACCAAAAAATATGACTCACCAAGATGACGCCTTTGATGGTCTCGTCGGTATAAAACTCGGGCTCTGTATCTTGCAACGACAGCATGACGTCGATTAGGGTTCCACCGCCTGGTTCAGAAGAAGACGGCGACGACGACGATTTCGATCGGGATTCACGAAACCCGTCCACGAGATGCTGCAAGAAGTCATCCAATTTGGTCATGATCGATTTCATCCTCTTCTCCAGACCTTGGAAATCGACCCATCGAAGCAGGGGAAAGAAATCGTTGGGCGTCGAGGTCCCCTGAATCGCAGAGAATTCGCCGATCAGATCCCGAAACTCCTCCGCTTCTCTATCCACCACATCCGATTCGCCGTACCCGAAATACCGCTTCCCGGCGACCATCCGAAGCATGGTGTTGAAAGCGAATCCTCTGAATTTCGAGCTCAGATTCACCCCTCGTCTTTCTCCGGACTCTGCCTCTCTGAAAATTTCCTTCAACATCAGCCCGGCCTCCACCCGCCGGGCGGCGGAGAAGGCGGCGACGCAGGATGGGGAGAAGAGCTCCACGGTGGTGAGGCGGCGGAGGTTGCGCCAGCGGTCACCGTAGTTGCAGGCGCCGATGGTGGTGTGGTTGTAATTGAGGTGCTTGGCGCCCAGCAGGAGGGGCCGATTGGCGAAGGCGATGTCGTTGTCGGTGAAGCATTGCTCGACGGCGGAAGGGGAGGAGATCACCAGGACGTCGCGGGAACCGAAGCGGAGGAGCAACACGGCGCCGTATTTGGCGGAGAGGTCGCGGAGGGATCGGTAAGGGGATTGGGTTGAGAGTAAGTGAAGGTGGCCGATGATCGGGAGGGAAGGCGGGCTGGGCGGGAGGTTTCTGCGGCGACGACGAGTTCCGAGGAGGAAGTAGTAGCAGTAGGCGGCAAGGAGCAAAGGGAGGGTCAAACTTAACCAGTATGCGCCGGCGGCAACCATATTTCTGCTTCTTTTTTTTTTTTTTTCTGAGGTGGTTTTGGACCGAGAGGAAGCGTTTGGAGTTTTATAGAGCGGGAGAGTTTAATATGTCTCAAGTGGATGACAGTCCCATGATCTGTCGCTGTCTCTGTAACAGCCATTTAGGCACCATCCAAGTAAAAAATGTTGTATTAACACCAAATCAAGAATAACAAAGACCACGTAAACCCCCTAGAGCTATATGGTAAAAGAGTATATGATTGTGCTTTATGGTGTGCAACGGTTTTGTCCGCTCCGGACCAGACAAAACGCATAAAAACTGCTCTCGAATAGTGAAAGTTTTAAAAATATTTTAGGAAAAGGACGAGATCAATATTGCATTCGGTCAAAACTTTTGTCCGGTTTGGTCCGGTACAAAAGTCAATCCAGTTCATTTTTCTTCAGTATTTATAAAATTCATGAGATTAAGGACTGAATCATATTAAAATTCAGGTGTTGCCCGATTCGGATCAACATGTTGCAAACCCCTAATTGTGATTGTTTTGGATAGTATAGATTGGAGTTGGCTTGAGTACGAGTTAAATTGAATTTTTTTATGTCAATTTATTAGATTTTATGGGGAATATTCTTTTTTTTTTGGGTGAAAACCGGAGCGCCAAAGGGTGCTCCTAGCCGTTATTATTGATCATACGGGGTGTTTGAACCCCCAACAAGTCAAAAAATAGCCAATAGTTCAGAGAAGAGTTTGGGCAGTCCAAAACATGCAAGCCAATACCCCGATTATGACCCAAAGAGGCAAGAAAGTCGGCAACAACATTGCCCTCTCTATACACATGGATTATCTCCACCTGCCAGTCACGAGCAAGGAGGCGCCTCGCGGCCGCAATCAAACAATGATGGGGATTACTAGAATTCGCCTCCTGCAGTAGTTGCATGGCGATCTTCGACTCCGTCTGAACTTGGACCTTCTTCAAACCCAGGTCCCAAGCAATTTGAAGACCATGGGTGATACCTGCAATCTCGGCCTTGGTGATGGATCCACCCCCAAGATTCATCGTGAACGCACGAAGCAGCCGCCCCTCCTCATCTCGAATGACCCCACCTGCTGATGTGCTTTCCGGCGTCGAGATCACAGAGCCGTCCGTACTGACACTCGTCCATCCTCGCGGCGGCGGCTGCCAGCTGATCATGTGCTGACTGCTACCTCTCTCACTGTCGAAAAGCTTCGACTCTTTCCTGATAGCTGCCTCCACTTGGGCAATGAAACGGGCATTGGAGACCTGCAGTTGTTGGGCGGAGCTCAGCTTTGCCTCAAAGACCTTGGTGTTACGATTGCGCCATAGCGACCAGCAGCCAATGGCAAAACTCGTAGCGCCGACTATCGAGCTCCTGTCCTTCAGGTAGTTGATAGGGCAAAAGCGTATATGCCAATTCCTATCTTGTAGTAAACCGGAAAGTCCGGGTATCGTCTCTCAGGGACTGGTACAACCTTAAGATTTACCGATTTAATAGAGCAAACTATAGGTGAAAATGATTTAATCAGATTATTAACTACTAGCAAAATTAACTAAATAAGCAAATTAAAGTGTCGGTTTTAAATCAATGGAGAAAGCTCTGGGAGAAACACCAGGATTCACTACCTATCCTATCCAGATTAATTCACATATTCCAATCAATTTAATCCATACCTCTACAGCCAGGATATCACGAATGTGCTAGCTATCCCTATCGGGAATTACTACGTACTAAATAATCAATTCAAATCCTACTGTCGTAGCTCAATGAATTAACTATATAGTCTGAAGATCGATATCCTATTTAAGACCGCATAGCACCTTATTTAATCCACTGTCGCTTCGATAAGTTACTATGTCACATGAAATATGTTCAGTTAATAGTGTTTCACTGTCGCTAATAACCTAATCAACTACGATTCATTGTATTGGTGGCCAGTCAACACAAAGCATTAAGCAATTTCATGCAATAGAGATTGGAAGAAAAGAATCATAAATCAATCCATCAAATCAAGAAATAGCTACATCCTATGATGTTTCCCCCAGAAATTGGGGTTTAGTTCATGACGAAATTAAGATAAAACGATAGAGTTTTGTTCATCATGTTCTAAATCAATAATACACAACTAGTTCGGTTTAGAAAATCCAACCAACTAATCGTTCTCGTTGAACTCAGCTCAAGCCGCCTGGAAAACTGATCGCCAATTGCTGCTCGACGAGAAGTTGCTCGGCCCAAGCGATTGTGCTGCGCCGCTACCTTCGCTTTCTTTCTTCTCGTCGCTGCGCCTGTTTTCCAGAATAACTCGCCGCCCAATTTTTAATTCCTCCGCTTCCGCCCTCTTTTCTCTCGTTCCCAAAACCCCCCAAATAAAGTGCCGCCGCCTTAAAAATAATTCCATTCCTTTCTTTCGTGTCCCTTTTCTTTTCCTTTCTTTTTTCTTAATTCCCCCCTCATGCCCAGAGAATTCCGCCCAAGTCCAAGAATAATTCCCCTAGCAATTATTTGTCCCCCTGTATAAGCCCGGCCCAATTCCTTCCACAGTTCCGTTTCTTTTGTTCCGCCCAAAAAGAATTCCACCCAAGTCCAAATCGTCCAGCCCAAGCTCAATCCCGGTTCAACTCCTCAGTAAGTTCCGGTCCAATATACATCCAGTCCACTTGAATTATTCTATCCACCAATGCAAATTTCTCGTTTCATTTACCTGAAATATATAAAACATTTGGCACTTGATGGTAATGGTTTTATAACCATTCCAGGCTTAGTTGGACCTCAAACAAGTATTATAGATCTCAAACATATGATGAAAAAATCACATTAAGCACGCAAAATCAATATGTTTTCTACAATTATCACAACCCCACACTCAATACTTGCTTGTCCCTAAGTAATGACTCAGACAAGAGAACGATAATTGGAGGAAACACAACACAGACCAGGGAGACACAACCATGCTCACACAAAAATCCATGACACACAAAACACAACATCAACACTAGAAATTTACCCTTGTACTCTTGTTGTAATCAGTAGTTTCTTTCTAAATGGAGGAGTTGTGCTTTAATAATCATACCTTTCACCCCACACTCAAGGTCTTTGCAACCATTACCAATGACTGACTCAAATCCACCAAAAACTCAATTAGCAACACTCAAATTAGATCGTCAGTAGCGGGTGATTAACAACTTATGGTGCAACAGTTATTAGGAGAATCTAACCACATCAGTGAGGTGCATATCTTGTGAGGACAATCTGGCTTACTCACACCAATCATAAGCAATTAATTATGCATGAGTCTCAAAAACTAATGGGGAAAGCCTTTCGCAAACATGATTTTACTTTAAGCACATCACTACCTTTTGTGACAAGGAGAGGCTTTCTCTCTTTCTGCTTTTGCTTGCCGAGAGGTCGTATTTAGTACAAGTGGGATTTGTTTCTTACTACCGGTGACCGAGCAAGAGCAATTTCTGCTTCTTAGCACTCGCATAAGGGCTTCTTTTAACTCCTTTTCCTCGGTCCGTGTGGAGGGTCATTGCATCCTCAAATGGCACTTCACTCAATTGGGGATCGTACTTGATAAGCAACATCGTACGGTCGCGAACCGATTCTCAATTGAATCTTTCCTAATCCCCATGTGCAATGAGTGATTGCCTCACACAATTTTGGCATTTTTACCCACACTTTAATTGTTATGGCAACTTTCTTATATTTTACTTGTCAGGTAGTGTTTTCTTTTATGAAGATACAGTTCACCCCATCATAAAACCTTTTAAAACAGAGAGACTCGTTACAAAATCAAAAGCTCACAATTGATGCAAGTAAGCACAGTATCCAAACATGTCGAATGGTCAATGTTCTCCACCTAACTACTTCACCAAAAGTCATTACACTATCTTCACAAAAGAGAATGTTGCTAAAAGAGTAGCTCATTCCAAGCATATCAAGTCAGTCAAAACATTCAAGCTCATTGTCAAGAACCATGCAATTCAACACTAGTGGGGTGATTTCGATGATTTCCTTCAAGCACAAACTCAGTTTCAAGGCATCACGGTCATTTATATCATGTTACCACAAGAGTACAAGGTTTTGTTTTTCATTTTTTTTATTTTTTTGTTTTTTTGTTTTTTTTACCGACCACATGACAAAAGGAACAAATAATTTTATTTTTTATTTTTTTTTTATTTTTTTTTTTTTACTGACCACATGACAAAAGGAACAAGCAAACACTAAGACTCGCCACCCCACACTCAGGATGGAACATTGTCCCTAATGTTCAACTCCTAATCTAAACATGCACGGGTTTGACACAACTAAAAAATAAATAAAGAAAAGAAAACTTACCTTGGGTTGCCTCCCAAGAAGCGCTTGTTTAACGTCCTCAGCCTGACGTTCATGGAGCTTTCAACCAATGGGTATGGAAAGGTATCCAGCATACCCTCCCGAGAAATGATAGAACGCATAACCTCCATCCAGCATATGAGTCACCTCTGTAGGGCCAGGTGTGCGAAAATTGGGTATGACCTTCTTAGCTGGCATGTTAGACCCTTTAGTGAGGCGTAGGTGGTACTGCAGCGCCTCAAGCAAGTACTCTTCCTGTTTCAATGTTAGTGAAGAAGGAATAATGACAAGAAGATTGAAATCCTTACCCAAATATCTATACTTGAGGTGATCTGGCAAGGATTTCTGCCCTTGCTTTGATTTCAGACTTTGAGTTGCTAGGGCATGTGATACTTCAGCTGATCCACTATCACAGGAAGATGAATTTTTCCTTTCTCGAGCTCCACTTTCAAGGTCATCAATTGCATCGTGATTATGATCAACTTGAAAGACATTAAAAATTTCCTCCTCCTTACCTACTCGGAATGTCAACTTGCCTCTCCCAACATCGATGAGTGCATCACCAGTTGCTAGAAAAGGTCTGCCGAGAATTAGAGGCACTCCCTGATCTTCTTCCATCTCCAGAATCACAAAATCTGTAGGGAGAATAAACTTCCCCACCTTCACCAATACATTCTCCACCACTCCCTTTGGGATTTTTACTGATCGATCAGCCAATTGGAGTGTGATCCGAGTAGGTTTAAGAACATCTCCCAATTCCAATTTCTTGTAGACTGAGTATGGCATCAAATTAATTCCTGCTCCAAGATCACAAAGTGATTTATTGAATTCTGTACCTCCAATGACACATGGAATGGTGAAGCTGCCCGGATCATCCCTCTTTTCTGGTAATTTATTCTGAATCACAGCACTACATTCAGAAGTAAGGGTTACCTTCTCCAGATCAGCCCATTTGCGCTTCTTTGTCAGCAACTCCCTTAAGAATTTAGCATATGTAGGCATCTGTTCAAGTGCCTCCGCCAAGGGTATGTTAATCTGGAGTTGCTTGAAGATATTCACAAATTTCTTGAAGTTTGGGTCTTCCATGGGCTTCATTAACCTTTGAGGGAATGGAGCGGGAGGTTCATAAGGCTTTACCTCTTCATTCTTCAATTTTTCCACTTTTTGAGGTACACGGGCAGCATGCTTTTGCACAGGCAAACCGCTTTCTTTTTGCCTGTGCAAGGCTGATTCTTCATTTTCTGCACAAGATCTTTCTCCCGGTGCTTCCTCTTCCGCCTCTGGTGCCTTTTTCGAGCTGCTAGGGTCTTCCAAGGCCTTTCCACTCCTCAATGTCACTGCTACAACCATGGCATCCTTCAGATTCCTCTCAGTATTTGCTGGTAATGTCCCAGGAATCCTGCCTTGCATATCTGCCAAAGTTTGAGCCATCTGTCCCATCTGCCTCTCCATAGCTAGCATAGAAGATTGTAAATTATTGTTGATGGCTAGCTGTTGAGTGACAAATTGATCCAGGCCCTTGAAATTATTGTCTGTTTTCTGCATATGAGCCAAAATCAACTCCTCCAGCTGGGGCTTCTTCTCTGGTTGAGGCTGCTGCTGTTGAAAACCAGGAGGTGGGATGTTTCGAACACCAGTTGGGTTGTTGTTCGCCCAGGAAAAGTTAGGATGCTTTCTCCATTGAGGGTTGTAGGTATTTGAATACATACCACCCTGGCCTTGATTTCGCTGATTGTTGATATAGTGCACATCTTCCAACTGATCAGCCACCAGTGGACATAGATCCCTATGATGAACACCTTCACATAATTCACAAAAAGCAACCTCCTCCTGTCTACCAAGAGCCATCTTAGCCAGCCTTCGTTCGAGTGCATCGAACTTGGAATCCAGCTTAGCATCAATCTTTGTTTCTAAGCTTGTCACTCTGTCTATCTCATGCAAGCCTCCTCTCCTTCGAGTGCCGGTCTCACTACCCCATTCAGTATCTTCAGAGCATATCTTCTCCACCAGTTCATATGCTTCTGGTGCTTCCATTCTTGTGAAACCATTTCGGGAAGCATTATTCAGAGCATCCCGAAACTCCCTTATGATTCCATTGAAGAAAATAATGATCACGTTCCAATCTTCAAGACCATGGCTTGGGCATCTCATCAACAACCCCTTGTAGCGCTCCCATGCCTCAGTCAGACTCTCATCATCAGTCTGCTTAAAAGTAACAATCTCTTCTTGCCTCTTCATTGCCAAGGCAGGTGGGAAGTATTTATCCAGAAAGACCTTCTCAAGCTGAGCCCATGTCGTGATGGAATGTGGTGTTAAGTTCTGAAACCAGTGTGATGCATTCCCTATCAGAGAGAATGAGAACATCCGAAGACGGATTGCATCATCAGACACAGTCAGGCTCTTCATCGTATCACAAATGCTCGCGAACCGGCGGAGATGCTCGTGAGGATCCTCATTGCTAGCCCCAGAGAAAGTATACCCATTGGTAATCATGTTGATAAATGCTGGGGTAATCTCCATGGTTGCATCCCCAGCCGGAATGAAATCACATGAAGCCCGGGCTCCAGTCCTCCGATTCAGACGAGCCCTGATGGATCGATCCTGTTCTGCCATGATGACAGGCTCGATAATGCGAGGTGGTGGTGTCGGTGGTGTAGGGATGACAGGTGATGAAGCTTGTCCTCTCTGTCGACGACTATGGGTTAGGGAAGGCCTAGGAGTTGTGGTTGGCTGCTTCCCTAACTTGACCTGCTTCCTGTTCTGTCGGCAGGTCTTCTCGATCTCCGGATCTAGTAGCAGTAAATCGCCGGTCGTCCTCCTAGGCATGCACGAGGAGGATAAACCTGAAAATTCTTCTGCACACTAACACCCAGATCAAAATAGTTCACTCACAAAAATCAATAAAAATAAGATATGGCAGCCCCCGGCAACGGCGCCAAAAACTTGATAGGGCAAAAGCGTATATGCCAATTCCTATCTTGTAGTAAACCGGAAAGTCCGGGTATCGTCTCTCAGGGACTGGTACAACCTTAAGATTTAACGATTTAATAGAGCAAACTATAGGTGAAAATGATTTAATCAGATTATTAACTACTAGCAAAATTAACTAAATAAGCAAATTAAAGTGTCGGTTTTAAATCAATGGAGAAAGCTCTGGGAGAAACACCAGGATTCACTACCTATCCTATCCAGATTAATTCACATATTCCAATCAATTTAATCCATACCTCTACAGCCAGGATATCACGAATGTGCTAGCTATCCCTATCGGGAATTACTACGTACTAAATAATCAATTCAAATCCTACTGTCGTAGCTCAATGAATTAACTATATAGTCTGAAGATCGATATCCTATTTAAGACCGCATAGCACCTTATTTAATCCACTGTCGCTTCGATAAGTTACTATGTCACATGAAATATGTTCAGTTAATAGGGTTTCACTGTCGCTAATAACCTAATCAACTACGATTCATTGTATTGGTGGCCAGTCAACACAAAGCATTAAGCAATTTCATGCAATAGAGATTGGAAGAAAAGAATCATAAATCAATCCATCAAATCAAGAAATAGCTACATCCTATGATGTTTCCCCCAGAAATTGGGGTTTAGTTCATGACGAAATTAAGATAAAACGATAGGGTTTTGTTCATCATGTTCTAAATCAATAATACACAACTAGTTCGGTTTAGAAAATCCAACCAACTAATCGTTCTCGTTGAACTCAGCTCAAGCCGCCTGGAAAACTGATCGCCAATTGCTGCTCGACGAGAAGTTGCTCGGCCCAAGCGATTGTGCTGCGCCGCTACCTTCGCTTTCTTTCTTCTCGTCGCTGCGCCTGTTTTCCAGAATAACTCGCCGCCCAATTTTTAATTCCTCCGCTTCCGCCCTCTTTTCTCTCGTTCCCAAAACCCCCCAAATAAAGTGCCGCCGCCTTAAAAATAATTCCATTCCTTTCTTTCGTGTCCCTTTTCTTTTCCTTTCTTTTTTCTTAATTCCCCCCTCATGCCCAGAGAATTCCGCCCAAGTCCAAGAATAATTCCCCTAGCAATTATTTGTCCCCTTGTATAAGCCCGGCCCAATTCCTTCCACAGTTCCGTTTCTTTTGTTCCGCCCAAAAAGAATTCCACCCAAGTCCAAATCGTCCAGCCCAAGCTCAATCCCGGTTCAACTCCTCAGTAAGTTCCGGTCCAATATACATCCAGTCCACTTGAATTATTCTATCCACCAATGCAAATTTCTCGTTTCATTTACCTGAAATATATAAAACATTTGGCACTTGATGGTAATGGTTTTATAACCATTCCAGGCTTAGTTGGACCTCAAACAAGTATTATAGGTCTCAAACATCTGATGAAAAAATCACATTAAGCATGCAAAATCAATATGTTTTCGACAATTATCAGTGGTGAAGCATCCACCGGTGGCCGTCCTGCTGGAAAAAGATGTCGTCCAGTTCGTCTAAGAGGACTTCGGCCCAATAAGCCCTGGCAAAAGAGCGGTCCCGAATCACGTGCATGGTTGTTACCGGCCCGCCTCCGCAGATGGGACAGGTAGCTGAGTCGGACAGGTAGCCTTTTCCATTTTCTAAATTGTAAGCTACCTGAATGCGGCAAGGCTCAAGTTTCCCGAAGAGATCGGTTTGAACATCGGTGGCACTGACAGAGTAGGCAGCATTTCTAAGCCCAAGTGAGGCAAGGTAATCCTCAGCATCTCTGGGCAAACCATACCCTTTGAACACACTCACTGAAGGGTCGGAAACCTAGCATATAACCCATGCCGCAGGTGAGTAATCCAACAACAGAAATCACCAAAAAGAACATGCCGCAAACTAACGCAAGTAGCCCATCTCCTTGCAGTCAGTCAAAGCAATCACTTTTAGCAATAGTTCATCAAAACGACGAGTGCCCAGAACATAATTTCCTCAATGAGCACTTGGGTATATGAAGGGAGAAGCAAAAAGCTTACAGAACAACCGGCTTGAGCTAGGCAGTCAGGGAAGCTCTTGTAGATTCCGACCAAGTCGCCTTTCCTTACAACGTAAAAAACATCTTTCTCCCGCTCCATAGCTGAGAAGCAACTTTCTTTCTAGGTTTTCGAAGCTTGGACTGAACTGGCAGAAGGAAGAGGGTAAATGATGAATGGGGTTGAAATGGGGAAAGGGGAAAGTGGTCAATTTCTTTCTTTCTTTCTTCCTTCACTTCTCCGACTCTCTAGTTTGCCGCAGTAGTGGAGTCCAGTCTAGTCTTACAGACTAAATTGCAAGTGCCTTCGTTTCCGACGACGATTGACTATCAAATCTGCCATAATTTGAAACATGATTGGACGCCGGAAGAAGTGATGGGGTATGTTTTGGGCTTAGGCGGGAAATCAGAACTACTGGATATCATTCTTCGGCCCAACAATCATCCATGCCCATTACCCGTTCTCCTAGCTTTGGCGGGAAACCAGCACTATCTGGCCGTTGTTCATAAGGCGGCGAACTCAAAATCCACGCTCTCTGCCGCGTTTCCGATTAGAAGACGAAATCCTCTATTCCTTTCCGATCAAGGCAATGATTCCAACGGTAAACCATTATCCCTATATAAAGAAGAAATCCACACAGCCTAAATAGTAAATACGATTACTTCAGGAAATTTCTTTTTCGTTCCTCCCGTTAGCCGATACTCTCTGTTCTCTAATCGCCACTCTCTGTTTCTCTCTCTCTCTCTCTCTCTCTCTCTCTGTTCCCGGCCTCTGCCACCATGGCTCTTCCACCGTGCTTGACGAGAGGGAAGCACGAAGAGCTTCTCCACACGCCCCAATCGGAATTATTCGAGATAATCGAGTGCGCCATCACCGTCGCCGCGCTCCGCTGGTCGGAGGAGCTCCTGGCTGAAAAGGATCGGCTTCTGAAGGGTTTCGACATGTGTAAGGATCCTGAGGCCGAGGGAACGCCAATTAAGGAGACAAGACCCATCGAAGCAGGGGGTCTTATGCAAAAGATGGAGCAAGCAGTGGAGAATCAAAGAAGAACCATTCACTTGAAGGTTGACTTGCCGAATCGTGATCGTAAATCGATGTCCAAGGTAACGACGGAGATGAAGACGACAAAACCCGTCAACCTTGGAGATCGCCAGCAAGAAGAGGGGGAAGCATTGGAGAATCCCAGAAGAATCAAAGTCGACTTGCTGTCCAACACTGCCAAACCCGCGCTCCAAAAGGCCGCTACTTCAACGACCGCAGCGGCGAAAAGAATTTCTCAGACGAAGCGTGACAATGAAGCAAGGGGAGATTACGAAAAGAAACTGGAGATCACGAAGAGAAAGTTGCAGAGCGGGTATACTGCCTGCGAGGAGTCGAGAAAATGGTCGAAAGTGATTGACTTTTGGACAGAGCTTCCGAAGAACACTCAGCAGCAGATTATTGGCGACAAAAAATTCTCGACCGGAAGAGTCGACAACAAGAAGGCCAGGAGCTTTCCCGCTTCTTCCCAGCAGCAGGTCTGCCGACGCCGCCAACTGGTTCCGCTGGAGATTCAGCACTGCCGTCCACCTCCCCGTTGCTAGCCTTCTCATGGCAATTTGCTTCAAGTTCTGGTCATGTAATTAACCAATCAATTTTTCCCCTCTGATTTAGGGGACACACTAATTGATTCTTTTGTATAGAGTTAAGGGTTGCGAGTTGGATTATGTTCTCTCCCTTGATAAATTTTTGTAGTCGTGAACATAGTTAATGTTAACTCTCCACCTCTCCAACTCTCCACTCTCTCATCTCTCTAACAGGTCTTTTCTCTGAACCATCTAACGGTTCTATTCCCGTCCCCTCTACTGGGACTTCTTCTGCTCGAGCCAAGAGCCTCCTTGTGATTTACATAGATTGTGAATCAGATCTCCACCAAAGGGGTATCCACCATAAAGAGGGAAGATCTGTAGCTTCCATAGCCAGTCAGAGCTCTCAATCGATTGGACAATACAATAGAATTTATGCGCTTGAAGTAAAGAAGAGTGAGGTTTGGAAGCCACCAGACGATGGTAGGTATGGCATCCTCTGCCAAATCAGTAATAAGAGTATAAAGGTGAGAAAGGGAAGATCAGATACAAGATCTTTCTATTTTAGCTCTACAATCTGCCTAGTGCAACTTGGGGGTAGCTTTGAGCCAAGAGCCCTTGTACTGACAGAAGAAAAACAGAGCAAGAACCGACTCAGTCTTCTAAGGAATTGTGAATCTAGTGAAAAGAAGGATATATGCCGCATTGAAGAGGGAGGAGTGGCTTACCTACAAGGTTACAACCGAAAAGCTTTAAAGATAGGGAACCAGAGAACAGGGCTGAGTGTTCTCTCACAATCGGTTCCCTACCCTGCTTTTTCTGTCTTTTGCTTACCAAGAAAACCACCTTTTCAGAAGAAACCCCGCTCTTGTCTCAAGCAAACACCCTGTTCGTCACAATGGAGCCAATCACCAACGAAGCTACAATTAGATCTAATGTTGGAAGCATCGTCCCTTTTTCATCAAGGGGCAGGGGTCTGATCCTGTCATCCACTGGTGGCAGAGTAATATCCATGATGCTGGGGAAGATGCTGACTAAAAACAGAGTTGCCTTTGCAAAAGCAGCTGGAGCGACGCGTTATGCGTGGGGATATGGAGAAGTGAATATCCAACCAATGGATACTTTCAACCTGTTCATATTCACCTTCAATAGCAAGGAGATCAGAGATCAAATCTGGAGGGACAGACCATGGAGCTTGTCGAACACCCTTACAACAATAGAGAAATACAACGGTAGAGGGAAACCAGAAGACCTACCGTTGTGAAGATGAATGTGGGTCCAGATCCATGGCTCTCATCAGAACCAGAGGAATGAGGAGAATACGAAGGCAATAGGTTTAAGTTATTTCCTGGAGCTAATCGATCTGGACAGAGCGAGTCTTGAGTATGCTGGCTACAGAGGGTTCTTGCGGATCTTGGTGGAGGTTGATCTTAGGGAACCAGTCCCTACTGGATTCGACTTCCCTTTTGCTGATGAAGCCACAGGGGTGGACTATTGTGATGAGATCACGTTTAAATACGAAAGACTGATTGAGCTATGCTATTTTTGTGGAAGAATCGACCACAACTGGCCGACGTGTAGAAGAATAAATGAGGAAAAGAAGAAAAACAGATTTCCCTACTTATCAGAGATTTACAATTCATCGCTTAAGGCGGGACTTGATTCTCCTCACAGGCCATCCTCGATACAGTCTAGAAACAGGGGAGAGAATAGAGTTACTTAAAGCTCAATGGTGGAAAGAGAGAGAACGAGATTGGGAGGAGGCTATCGGAGGGAAGATACGGTGTCGGACGGTTGAGGCTCAGCCGAGAGGACTCCCAAGTTCCACCAGGCTTCACAGTTCAGAGGGTTGAGCAGGAGCCAATTCAAAGGGAGGAGCAAGGTATGCAGGGGACGTGGAGAGGAAAGTACAGGATGGAGATGGGTTCAAGGAATCTCAATCTTGACCTTGATAGAGCGGCGGCGAAGCTGGAATGGGGATTGAGATTGGAAGAGGGTGGAGGAAGTGAAGAGGTCGACGAGCAGCAGCAGGATAGGGAAGTTCAGACTCAACTAACCCTGGGGCTGAGCCACCTGCCCGCTGCAAGTCAGGCCCAATCTTGTGGCCCAACTGGAGGTAGCTTTTACCAACATGCAGATGACGGGCTTGAGGTTGAAGTGGGCCGAGTTATGAAGAAAAGGACGGGAACAAGTCATGTGAGAGGGGAAAGGCCCAGATATGGCCTTAATGAAGGAGCAGTTTGGTCGCTCAGCTCAGAAGGAGGGGTTTTTGTGGGCGGGCCTGGAGGGGAGAATAGAAAAAAGAAGAATCAAAGGGCAAAGAAGATACCCAATGTCGAGCAAAGAGAAAAACGAGTTGAAGGGGAGCCGGCTAGGCAAGTCAAGGAGAGAAGGGCAATGGTGGTTCACCAGAAGCCACCTCATCCGGAATGAGTATAGTAAGTTCGAATTGTAGGGGATTTGGCTCATCCCTTACAAGAAGTTATGCTAAGCGTCTTTGTCGTCGCTTAGGCCCTTCTATTGTTTTTCTTATGGAAACGAGCAAAAACGAGGAGTTCATGGAAGAACAAAGAAGAAGTCTCAAGATTTTTCCCAATAGAGAGTATGTTGAACCGGTTAACTCTTCTAGGGGCTTTGCGTTATGGTGGAAAGCGGGTATTAGTATCACCGTGTTAAGTAGTGATAGCTACTACATGGGCTAAGATGAGGTGACTAAGAGGGGGGGGGGGGGGGGTCCCTTAGTCACATGATTAAGTGCATCTCAGCCATTCATTCTAATTTAGATCTAAGGGTCCTGATTAATCTCATTTAATGAAGGGCAAGATAGTAATTACATTATTTATATATTTATTTAGTAATTAAACAAAAAAGGGTCTGATCGTGAGCGTTTACAACGAGTAGCGACCAGCCTCTCCCGGTGACTGCGGCGGACCTTCTTTTCTGGAGGGTTCCATATTCCCGACGGCGGGCCTTCTTTTCCGGCGAGATTCCATATCCTGGCGTTGTAATTGGAGAGTCCATTTACAACGAGCAGCGACCAGCCTCTCCCGGTGACGCCGGCGGGCCTTCTTTTCTGGCGGGTTCCATATTCCCGGCGGCAGGCCTTCTTTTCCGGCGGGATTCCATATCCCGACGTTGTCCAGTAATTGGAGAGTCCAACGTTGTCCATTAATTGAAGAGCACATTTCCTTTCTTCCGTCCATTGTTTTGGGAAATTTTCCCCTCCAAGCTCCCGAGAGAGAGAGAGTTTATGAGAATTATTTGGGGGCGCGGAGAGAGAGAGAGAGAGAGAGAGAGAGAGTTTTTCGACGACCGGAGGAAATTTCCCGGCGATAGTGTTGGATTTGTAATGTTTGCTGACCTATTTTGTAATGTGTGTATAGATTCAGTTTGTATTGTTTGTTATTTTTAGTGACATTTTGTACGGTTAGTATGCTTTGTATTGTTTGTCGGTTTATTTTGTAATGTTTGTACGCTTTGTTATTTTGTAATGTTTGTCGGTTTTTTTTTGTAATGTTTGTAAACTTTGTTATTTTTGTGCACCATGTTTATCATTTTTGTCAACCATGTTTGTAATGTTTTTTATGTCTAAAAACCAACCTAGTTGACTTTTGGATGGAACTCCTCTATATAGGGATGGAGCCTCCAAAGTCAACCCGGGTGTTTTTTCCAGTTCGTATGGATTGTCGGTCTAGTTTGTCATTTTTGTCCACCATGTTCGTAATGTTTGTATATCTAAAAAACAACTGGGTTGACTTTGAGAAGGAACCCTCTATATAGGGATGGAGCCTCCAAAGTCAACCCGGGTGTTTTTCCAGTTTGTATGAATTTTTGGTCTAGTTTGTCATTTTTGTCCATCATGTTTGTATGTCTGAAAACACCCGGGTTGACTTTGGGAAGGAGCCCCTCTATATAGGAATGGAGCCTCCAAAGTCAACCTGGTTGTTTTTTCTTTTTGTATGGTTTGTATTGTTTGTCGGTCTAGTTTATAATTGTGTATAGTTCATATGTTTGTAATGTTTGTAAATCTGTTTGTATGTTTTGTCGCTCTAGTTTGTACTATTCGTATGTTTGTATGGTTTGTACAGATTGTAAGTCCGGTTTGTATACTTCATAATTTTTCATAATACCCAAACTACCCCTGTCATTAATTAAATAGCCCTTCCCACTTTTTAACCACCATATTGCTATATCCATATCTAAGGGCTGGGAGGGGCTTAGTCAAGTGACTAAGCACCCCCCCTAGTCACTGGATCCTCTCTCGCTACTACATGGATGTTAGCATTGACATGGGTAGAAAATTCTTCTGTACTTTTGTTCATGCTCCCTCTACAATTGTTGGTAGAAGGGATTTTTAGGAGCATCCGAGCTCCCTTCGGAGTAGTAGGGATGACAATTGGGTTGTTGTAAGGGATTTCAATGCTGCTATTTATGAAAATGAGAAGGAAGGGAGATGCCCTCTTAGGTACGAGAATGTGGAGCCTTTTAAAAGGTTCATCTTCCACAACGCTCTGATCGATTTAGGGTATAAAGGGGAACCCTTTACTTGGACAAACAAGAGAACATGGCATAATTTGATGAGAGTTAGGTTAGATCGTGTGCTTTGTTCGACTTCTTGGCGAGTACAGTTTGGAGAAGCAATGGTTTTCCATGAGAAGATGGTGGAGTCTGATCATTGTCCAATCAGACTGGAGCTTTATTACAGAGGAAGTAGGAGGAAAAGACCCCTTTTAGGATTGATGAAAGATGGCTTGAGAAAGAGGAGTGCAAAGAGATTGTTTCCCGAGCCTGGGACCCGGGAGGTCAATCGTCTGCCCAACTGAGCAAATGCGAAAGAGATTTAAAGGAGTGGTCAAAGGAATTCCATAAAATCAGTGTGCAAAGAGAGTAGGATATCATTAACCAGCTCAAGATTCTACAACACCCTCCCAGAACGCAGGAGAATGTGGAGGAAGAGAAGAAGCTCACGGTGGAACTGACGAAGATTTGGAAGGATGAAGAGTCCTTTTGGAATCAATGCTCGCAAGTGAATTGGCTTCAAAAAGGTGATCAAAATACCTCCTTTTTCACTCTAGCACGATCCATAGGAAGCATAGAAACAAAATTACGAGAATGAAGGATGATGGAGGGAATTGGATTGAGGATAAGAATAGGCTTAAAGGTCTTTCTGTAGAGTTTTACAAGGAGCTCTTTAGTGCTCGAAACCCAATCCCATTCAACCATCTCCTTGATGGATTTCCGGAAAAGTAACTTCCGAAATGAACGAGGAACTTTGTGCTCTGGTAACCAATTAGGAAATTAGAAAAGCGGTCTTTTCCTTGGGAGCTAGGAAAGCTCCGGGACCGGATGGATTCTCAGGGAGGTTCTACCGGAGATACTGGGATCTTATTGGAGACACAATTTGCAGAGAAGTGAAGGGGTTTTTTGACTCAGGTGTTATGCCGGAGGGTTGGAATGATACTCATATCGCAATGATACCAAAGGTTGACAATCCTAAAATGATTAGCCAGTTCCGTCCTATTAGCTGCTGTAATTTTAGATACAAAATCATATCTAAGATAATGGCGACCCGACTCAAGAAGTGGACACCTGACCTTATTTCGGAGCGTCAAACTGCTTTCACTGGAGGGAGGCTTATCCAAGACAACATCATCATTGTTCATGAGGCCTTACACCATTTCAAGAACCACAAGCTGGGGAGAAGGAGAGATACAATGTTGAAGTTGGATATGAAAAAGGCGTATGATATGGTGGACTGGGATTGCCTTGAAACACTTTTGAAGAAGTATGGGTTTGATAATAAATGGTGTAGTTGGGTCGGTGCGTGTATTCGCTCTGTCAACTTCTCCATTCTTTTCAACAGAGAAGCTACATACTCGTTCAAACCATCACGAGGTATTCGACAAGGAGACCCGCTCTCTCCCTTACTCTTCATTCTCATGTCCAATGCCCTCACCTTCTTGATTGATAAAGCAGTATCCCAAGACCAACTTAAAGGGATTAAGTTGAATGCTAGATGCCCTGTGCTCACCCACTGCCTTTTTGCTGATGACACAGTCATTTTTGGAAAGGTTGATCACCAGGAAGCACAAAAAATCTTGGATCTTATTGGAGAGTATGGAGTAATCACTGGTCAAGAAGTGAACATCAATAAGTCATCTGTTTTCTTCAGTGCAAATGTCCCCAATGATGACAAAGATAATATCATTGCCCATATTAGTTTTGCTACGTCAAATTGCCACTCTAAGTATCTAGGAGTCCCGACGGAATGGGGAAATTCAAAGAAAGAAACTTTCAACTTCCTCTTACAAAGAATGGAGAAAATGGGGGAGGCATGGAAAAGTCTCATACTCTCTCATGGTGGAAAAGAAATCCTTCTCAAGGCGGTTATTCAAGCTATACCATCTTTCATCATGTTCCTGTTTCAGCTTCCAAAATCAATTACCAAGAAAATGGACTCTTCTTGGTAATTTCTTTTGGTAAGGAACTATGCAGAAGAGTAGTCTTCACTGGTGTAGAAAGGAGATTCTTTGTATGCCTAAGGCAGAGGGGGGATTGGGATTCCGGAGCTTCAATGATTTTAACTTAGCCCTGTTGGCGAAGCAGGCTTGGCGTCACCTTACGTCCCCTAATTCACTGTGGAGTCGTCTTCTGAAGGGACTTTACTTCCCACGGGGAGACTTTATCAACGCTAAGAAGGGAAGCAAAGCCTCTTGGATTTGTGCTAGTCTTTGGGAGGCAAAAAAGGTCATTAACATGGGAGCGATTCACGTGATTGGCTCGGGGGAGGACACTTGGGTCGATCAGGACCCCTGGATCCCCTTTTTGGATAATTTTGCTCTCAAAGCGGACCCCAAAATCATTTGAAGGTAAAAGAATGGATTGATCTAGGGGATAGGAGCTGGAACATGGATGTTATACAGGGTCGTGTCTCTAGATCAGAACTGGAAGTGATTCTGAGGATTCCTATTGGAGAGGAAGGTGCTGAGCACTTCTGGGCATGGAATTTCACTGAAGAGGGGAAGTTCTCGGTGAATTCAGCCTACCATGCACTTCACAATGCCAATACTAATTTTCAACCAAGCGGGAACACGGAGAAATGGAAGTGGATTTGGAGCCTTCACCTCCCCCCTAAGCTGAAAATCTTTATCTAGAGATGCTGCAAGAATGGGTTGGAAACGAAAGAGAGACTCCTTCACAGAAAATGTGCTCCTAATGCGACATGTCCAGTCTGCCATTTCCCCATTGAATCCATCAATCACTGCCTGTTTCAGTGCCCTCAAGCCAATGAGGCATGGACCACTTTGTTCCCGTCCCTCCCTTTACCTCCCCAAGGAACTTTGTTCTTTGACTGGTTTTGCTCCCTCAAAGTTGCAGTTCATCAGAATTCCTTGATCCATATTGTGGTTCTCTATTGGAATATCTGGAAAGCCAGGAACGAATGCGCCTTCAAGAATAGAATCCCGTGGCCACCGAATGTGTGCCATCAAACGTTTAAAGAGTTTACTGAATGGAGCTCTTTCCTGAGGCCCCAACCTCCCATGAATTCCCTTCCTTCTCAGCTCAGGGAAATCCTGTCTCATACGAATCCTCCGCCAAGTAATCCCTCTTTGGTGATTCACTATGATGGGTCGTTCATTAGCGACTCCCAGCCGGCGGCATATGGTGTTGTGGTTATTAACCATAATGGACAAGTGTGTGATGAGAGAGCTGACAATCTTCTTTGTTCTACCCCGATTGAAGCAGAAACTAAGGCTCTTTTTGAAGGAGTGAAATTAGCACAAGAATATGGAATCGATTGTACTGTTCATTCTGATTGTCAGGTGTTTGTTAAAGCTTTAAATTCTAATCACTCGAGATGGCCGTGGAGATGTGCAGCTTGGATTGGATCGATTGTCAATATCCTCAGGACATATCTGTTCATTAAAGTCAAGGAAGTGTCGAGAGCACTCAATGTTAGAGCTGACTGGGTTGCACGTTCAAAGGCGAGAGCGACGCTCCCTAATGACTGGATTAATATTCTTGATCTAATTTTTGATCTTTTGTAAAAATGTAACCTGGTTTACGTTTCTTTCGTTTGGTGGAATAAAAGTTGTTTATCATTGTCAAAAGAAAAAAAACTGATCTTGGTATTGATTGAAACAAAGCAAAGTTTTTGCATGATTGTTGTCTCTTTCCTTGTGTCCACCAACCCATCTTGGTTTTGTTAGAACGACAGACTTCCTCATTCTCTCTGAGGAATTCCCACAAAGAACGGATGTGCAATTCATCAAAACCCCAAATCCTATACGAACCCATAACCCAAATTAAAGATTAGGTAATAGGCTTACATAAAATTTTGATGTTGGGAAAAATGCTTAATGTTAACTTCGATTGATTTGGTATTGAATGAAAAGAGCAAAGTTTTCCGCCATTATCGTCCTTCCTTGTTTCCACCAACACATCCTGAGTTTGTTAGCGAAATCAACACTGATTCTTTAAAACATAAAGAGTGGGTACACTTTATTGCAAAAACTGCTCTTTACTGTTTCAGTTTTTGTCGTTATCTGTGCACTTCTACCAGCGACTTCCTCTGATTTGCCCTCGGCTGCGGCCTCCTGCTTCTGGGACCGCTGCCCATCTCGGCCGAGTAGAACTTCTTGCTGCCCCCGTTGGCTACGCCATGCTTAACGTACACCAAGACCATAACTTCAATTTTGGAGTGCTGAAGTGGGTTTGCTTGGGGATTTGGGGTGAGGATTGGGGCCAAATTTGGGGAATGGGGTGAGAGGATACAATCCCAGAGTAGTCTCTCCTGTACTCTCAAGTCTCATCCCTGTAGTTTACTTCTCCAAAATCCAAACACCCATGCTTTTCCCTGTATCCATCCCTTCGCGACCTAATCCCTAAAATTCGTAATCACAAAACACTGCTTTGGTCATCTCCATCATCGCAAGTCTCACCACTCCGATTTGCTTCTCCATGTTGCGACCTCTGCGCAGCTACTCCTACACGCCAACGACCATTTGTATAATCCCACCCAACCTTACTTCTCTTTTCTGATTCAATCCTTTCTATTATTTTGCGCCTTCTATTCAATTTATTTGTTTCTCTATTCTTGATTGTATGGCCTAAATCTTGAGAGAAGACTCCAATCTACCTTTTCCTCCACCCCGAAAAGCGAGTCCGCTACTTTCACATCCCCTACTTCTCCCCTCAAAGCAACTACTCTTGGATGCCTCCTTCATGCTTGGGTCGCCCAAAACCAAGTTACCAATTGATGTTTCGCAGATGGTACTGATGAGGCAGTTTCTGAAGAAGAAGACTAGGAGGAGATAGAGAGCTTTGAACAGCAGAGGCAGGAGATAGACGTGACGGTAGGTTGTTCATGAGTAATTTTGTGAAAGTGACAGACTTCTATGAATTTCTACTAACCATCATAGGTTTGTTCTTTCACATTTAAGGGACTTATGAGGGCCTTATGTGATTACACAAGCGAGGAACGACAGGTAGAAGGTGAAAATTTCAGACTAGAGAATAACAAACAAATAAAAAAGCGAAGGAAAAGAAATCCATGGAAGAATATGCAGAGCTGAAATAGGAAGTTGCAAAGCAGGAAGAACCTGTTAAATTTCTAGGTCTTCTTCCATAGGTAGATTTGCTGGACTATCTATTCAACTTGGTCACTCTTTCATCGGTTTTCTTTTCCTTTCATGCGCTACTTATACACTCGACCTGTCTTCGGTGTTGTTTTAGGTTAGTGCTTTAGCGGTTTGCGGATTTTTTGACAGTTTTTTCAGTTTGGAGTTCTGTTTATTTTAATGTATTAAGGAAGGAGAAAGAAGACATGGTGATCAGGACTCGGTGAATTATAGTGAGAGAGGGAGAAGGAATGCTAGAAGGAAGAAGAGATGAAGCAGAAGACTTGGTAGAGGAGAAGGAGTCGTAGCCAGTCACTAATATTCTCTTGGCTACTCGCTTGAGCTTCAAAATTCTGGTACTTCCTTCTCCCTCCCATCATCGCTTCTGTTTCTGTTCTTCCTAAATGTATGAAAACTGACTGCACCAATACTAATTAGTTTCCCCCCTTCTTTTGAAATTTTTTTTGGATGATGGTATTGTGATTTTGTCATGGATTCCAATTTAAATGTGTGTTTACTGAACATATGCTTTGCCCGTGTCAGTTTTCTTGCTGTTTTAACTGTTAAAGATGATAGCGTAGGGGGGATATTTGGCCTTTCCAGGCAAGCTGCTTCCTTACAGCTTATGGTATTTGTGTGCATGAGATCCAAATGTTCTGTAGAGTTAGTCTCGAGTTTAGACCTCATTCTCTAATTTTGGTGGGTACTTCCTCACGGCTAAATTACATGTTTGGTCACTCAAATTACACAAATCTTTCACGTTTGCCACCCGAATTACTTTTCTTTCTTGTTCGCCACTAACTTTATGAATCGTTTCACCGTTAGTCACTAATCGTCATACTCCATTAAATTTGTGCTAAGTGATAGTCAACTATAAAATTTGATCGTTAACTAGAATCATGAAAATGAAAAATAAATAAAAAAGTAAATTATTTTTACACTTCATCATTTCACTTACGTTGATTTACCAAGCACCGTCACTGATGGATCCAATCATACTTTGCAGGAAGATTATACTTCGATTAGTACTGCAACTTTTCACAGAAGCAGAAGTTGAGCCATTTCTACCACTGACGGTGTTCTCACCTCAACAACGACAGGTAAATTCCAGAAGCCAGTAGCAACAATAGCAACTCTAGCCTAGCTGCTTTGGGTGGGGGAAACAACATAGGTCTGTTTATCAAAAGTTAGCATAATTGTAATCTAGGTTTACTCTGTGTGGCTCTGTGAAATTCTTTCAATCCTGAATCTCTGATACGTCAAGGAAAAGATCCGTTTTCCATCTCTTTAACTGTGGGTATGTTGGTTTAATGGTAGGTTGTTTCCCAGACTCCAACACGAGCCGATGGGAAATTTTTCGTGATTCATCATTGTCGGCCGCTGAATTCAATCGACACAGAAAAGCATTTGGAGCGAAACAGAATTGCTAGAGGACTAATGAAGAATGGAGAGGGGCATCGGTATTGGGCCAGCTCAGACAGATGACATATTGGGATCGGGATGCCTAATCGTAGACTCATCCTCTCCAATTTGCTCAGCCTCGCCCTGCTCTATAAGTTCGGCGGGATCTACCTCGACACCGACGTCGTGGTCCCGTGGAGCCTCGCCGGGCTAAGGAATTCCATCGGCGCACATACATTTTATGTCGAGACGGGGAAGTGTAGCCGGCTGAACAACATCGTCTTAATTTTTGATCGGAATCACCCGCTCGTTTATCGGTTCATCATGGAGTTCGCGAGGACGTTTGACGGGAACAAGTGGGGGCATAATAACGATCTGTATTTGGGTCGAGGGTCGTGGAAAGGGTGGTGGATGCCCGGGATTCAGGTTTTAATTTCACGGTGCAGTCGCTGGCGGTGTTTCATCCTGTAGATTGGAGAAGGATTTTGGCCCTGTTTCACGGTCGCGGGGTCGGGTTCATGCGAGGTGTCTGAGGAAGAAGCTGGAGCAGATCAGCGGCGGTGCTTGGTAAATCAAAAAGTAGGTGGAATGATGATGTGTAAAAATAATTTAATTATTTTTTTATTTTCATCTCATCTAGTTAACGGTCAAATTTTATAGTTGACTGTCGCGTAAGACAAATTTAACGGAGTTCAACGACCGGTGAGTCGGTGACTAACGGTGAAACAACTCATAAAGTTAGTGGCGAATAAGAAATAAAAGTAATTCGGGTGGCAAGCGTGAAAAATTTATGTAATTTGAGTGACCAAACGTGTAATTTAGCCTTTACATCCTTTGTTTGCTTTTGAGAATTGTCTGTTCAATAGATTCTGCTGTCGGATTTTACATGGCTTGGTCACTTGGATGGTAATCTCACTGAAAGCTTAATTTTAAAGGGAAATGTTATCAAATTTTTATAGTGACTTGATTATTTTCGTTTAACTTCCTGCTACTGATTGATACTATTAACTTACCATGATTTGTTATGATTGAGCATGGAAATCTGACATATATCTCATACGTTGTTGTTATTATTATTATTATTATTTGCAGCGGGTATGGGATGGTACATGGAAGCAAGAAATGGAACAAGTCAGGCTTCTCAGTTGAGGGATCAGCTTGCCAGTTCCTGTTCCTGATCTCTTGCATTCTACTTACAATCGGTTCAGTCTGTATACCAATCAAGAATTACCTTAACAGTAACCTTCTCATTGCAAGTCACCGATACATGACTATTAGGCATACCAATAAAGAATTACCTTAACAGTAACCTTCTCGGTACTCATTAGAAGATGATATTACATCAACTTAAGTCCCCGCGGCGTAGCCGTAGGTATTGATTCTAGTATCTAGTTACAACAAGCCCAAAAGCTCAGCAAAAACGTATATACAAGTGGCTGCACTGAAGTCGTTTCTATGATATTCTATCCCCACCTGTTCCTGGACTGAATCTGAAATGTTGACCCTTCACGCCAACCTCAGATGGTGTCTAACGACTCGGTGATCAAAGACTCGTGCACTTGCCCATATGCACAAAAGGTCAACACCCGAATCTATCAGAGCGAAAAACAAGTATCAGAGATTCATGAGGTCCACCATAAATAAGAAAACCACTAGAGATGGAAGATAATGATGATAGGTAACAATGGAGGTGCAAGTTCAAGGGTGGGATATGACTGACCCCTGAGTTGAACTGCCTGGTGTGCTAGTGCATCAGCTTCAGAATTGAATTCCTGGGATAAGCAATTGTTTTCTCATCCCATATTCGAATTCAGACCGTATTGATTGTTTCAATTCTGAATCAGCAAATTTACTTACCCTCAGAGTATGTCTGATCTCAAAACTACGGAACTTGTTCTTGAGCTCTTTCGCCTCATTACCCAATGCGACTATGTTTGGGTTTTTTAACTTCCATTTTCCCTGAATCTGTCCAAGCAAACTGACATTAAGGACTATGAACACGGCTTCCAGTGCAGTTGAAATCAAGTTAATCACCTATTACTTCATGCACATGAATGAAATAACAAACCTGCACACAGACAAGATTAGAATACCCTTGGACACTGTCTATAAACCCTTTTTTGAAGGCCTGCTTTATTCCCAGAAGCACGCCTCGATATTCAGCAACATTATTCGTCGCAAGCCCCACGCTTTCAGAGAACCGCCACACCTGTGCCAAAAAAAAAAACTCTTGGATAAAAATGTGCACACAGTAAATTCAAGAACAATATAGCAAAACGGAAGATGGCTTTCTGCCAGATCAAGGAGAGCTTGTTTCACCATTTTCCATCAGGGGAACACAGAACAGCTCCAGCACCAACTGATCCTGGATTTCCTTTTGATGCACCATCAAAATAAATTATCGCTGGTGACTGGGATAAACATAATAATTGACATTTGTTGTTAGAAACATCTATGCTAGTAAAACTCACAAATCAAACGAGTAACACAGCAGACAAAATTAATATGTAGCATACTTTTCAAAGAAACCGAGACATCAAAACCCCCAACACTGTTAACTTCTAAGAAAAGAGCTTTAGAACAATGTTGCATACTGATGTATTCTGCAAAGACCAACTGTCTATGATAATTTACAATTAGGTTTAGGGTTTGAGTCCTCTACGATGCATAGATCTCTCACCTTCAATCATTTTACATTCAGGAAGATCTTACGAACACATAATAAAGTACCGTTTCAGCTAACTTAAAAGATTGACCAGGAACCTAGAAAGAATTCAGAACAACTGTCTTTTTGGTGATTTCTGATGTTCTTTAGAACAAGCACTACGCTGAGGAACTCACTGAGTTTGTTGGTACAGGTCTACTGCTCTCACTGTTCTGTAAATTCGGATTTTTGTTTGTGGAGTTTCCCTTGATCGTAATCAATCCAGACATCTGCACCATGAAAGGCAAAGAGCAAGCAAAAGGACTCTTCAGGTAGTTAACAACAACCTAAATGACAATAAATGTAAATCTCCATTCAAACGTGACGGTTACAAACCATTATTTTGCATACTTCCACTTGTGTAAAGTTTCTATTTTCTTTTTCATGTAGAGATATGTTCAATACCAGAAATTATATGACTGTACTAGTTAAGGACTTACAGTCGGTGCTTCGAGAGATCTCTTTGAATAAGCCTCCTTGTTGATCGCTGGTGGCTGATGGAAGCAAATACATGTGTAAAATCAGGTTAACCAATGTGTAAGCCAATCGAAGACACTTTCCAATACATGCAAGAAGGAAACAAAATAACACTCGTTACCACAGCAAAACTAGCATCACAATCTTGACCAGAGAAATAAACATTGAACGAATGCAGACATTAAAACAGCAATAAGCACATATAACCAGAATTGGGACAACAGTAAAGCACTTTGCAAAGAAAATGTTGAAGTCCTAGACTCTTAGTATCCAGTTTAACAGAGACTTCCAACAACAACCATTAGAAAGCCTTTTCTATTTTATAGATTGTAAGCTACCAGAATGCGGCAAGGCTCAAGTTTCCCGAAGAGATCGGTCTGAACATCGGTGGCACTGACAGGTAGGCAGCATTTCTAAGCCCAGGTGAGGCAAGGTAATCCTCAGCATCTCTGGGCAAACCATACCCTTTGAACACACTCACTGAAGGATCGGAAACCAAGCATATAACCCATGCCACAGGTGAGTAATCCAACATCAGAAATCACCAAAAAGAACATGCCGCAAACTAACGCAAGTAGCCCATCTCCTTGCAGTCAGTCACAGCAATTACCTTTAGCAATAATTTCTTCAATGAGCACTTGGGTATATGAAGGGAGAAGCAAAAAGCTTACAGAATAACCGGCTTGAGCTAGGCAGTCAGGGAAGCTCTTGTAGATTCCGACCAAGTCGCCTTTCCTTACAACGTAAAAAGCATCTTTCTCCCGCTCCATAGCTTGAGAAGCAACTTTCTTTCTAGGTTTTCGAAGCTTGGACTGAACTGGCGGTAGGAAAAGGGGAAATGATGAATGGGGTTGAAACTTGAAACGGGGAAAAGGAGAAAGCTGTCGATTTCTTTCTTCACTTCTCCGACTCTCTCGTCTGCCGTAGTGGAGTCCACTCTAACAGCCAAAATTGCAAGTGCTTACGTTTCCAACGACAATTCACTACCGAATCTGCCGGAATTTGAAAGGTGATTGGACGCCGGAAGAAGTGACGGGGTATATTTTGGGCTTTGGCGGGAATCAGAGCAACTGGATATCATTCTTGGGCCCAACAATCTCCAAGCCCATAACGCGTTCTCCTATCTTTGGCGGGAAATCGGCACTCTGGCTGTTGTCCATAAGGCGGCGGGCGAACTCAAAATCGAGGCTCTCTGCCGCGTTTTCGATTAGAAGACGAAATCCTCTATTCCTTTCCGATCAAGGCAATGATTTTAACGGTAAACCATTTTCCCTATATAAAGAAGAAACCCACACAGCCTAAACAGTAAACGCGGTTACTTCCGGAAATTTCCTTTTCTTTCCGTCCGTTAGTCGATACTCTCTGTTTTCTCACCACCGCTCTCTTTCTCTCTCTCTGTTCCCGGCCACTGTCACCATGGCTCTTCCGCCGTTCTTGGCGAAAGGGAAGCACGTAGAGCTTCTCCACACGCCCCAATCGGAATTATTCGAGATCATTGAGTGCGCCATCACCGTCGCCGCACTCCGCTGGTCGGAGGAGCTCCAGGCCGAAAAGGATCGTCTTCTCAAAGGTTTCGAGATGTGTAGGGATCCAGAAGCCTAAGTAACGCCGATTAAGGAGCCAAGACCCATCGAATCATTAGGTCTCGTGCAAAAGAAGGAGCAAGCAGTGGAGAATCCAAGAAGAACCATTCACGAGAAGGTCGACTTGCCGAATCGTGATCGTAAATCGTTGTCCAAGGTAACGACGGCGATGAAGACGACAAAACCCGTCAACCTCGGAGATCGCCGGAAAGAAGAGGAGGCAGAATCGGAGAATCCCAGAAGAATCAAAGTCGACTTGCCGTCCAACCCTGCCAACCCCGCGCTCGAAAAGGCCGCTACTTCAACGACGGCAGCGGCGGAAAGAATTTCTCAGACGAAGCGTGACGACGAAGCAGAGGGAGATTACGAAAAGAAATTGGAGATGACGAAGAGAAAGTTGCAGAGCGGGTATACTGCTTGCGAGGGGTCGAGAAAAAGGTCGAAAGTGATTGACTTTTGGACAGAGCTTCCGAAGAACACTCAGCAGCAGATTATTGGGGACAGGAACTTCTCGGCCGGCAGAGTCGACAACAAGAAGATCAGGAGCTTTCCCGCATCTTCCGAGCAGCAAGTCTGCCGACGCCGCCAACTGGTTCCGCCGGAGATTCAGCACCTTCGTCCACCTATCCGTTGCTAGCCTTCTCATGGCGATTTGCTTCAAGTTCTGGTCATGTAATTAACCAATCAATTTTGTTTTTACCTTTGATTTAGGGGAAGCACTGATTCTTTTGTATAGAGTTAAGGGTTGGAAATTTTGTTATGTTCTCTCCCTTTGGTAAATTTTAGTAGGTATTTGAATGAAACGAACAAAGTTTTTTCACCATTATCATTTCTTTCCTTGTTTCACTAACACATCTTTGATTGGAGCTAAGAATTTTCATCAGAACGATGGACTTCGCAATTCTCTTTCAGGAATTTACACAAATAACTGGTGTGCAAATTATCAAACCCCCAAATCCCATACGAAACCTTCACCCAAATTAAATCTTGTGATAATGGGCTTACATAAATCTTGTGACAGTGCTCAGCTTTACCAACTCCATGGCTACTATTACTAATGGATCCTGTAATAGCCCACTATCAAGTGATGTGACTGCATTTTCATGGACACTGTCACGAGTCTGATAGTAGATCATACATATGCTGCTAAAAATTCAATGATTCCTACCAAGACATAATCATTCACACAACAACAATGGATAAGAAAAACCAAACATGCATAGTAAATTACCTGAAACTAGTGTAAAAAATGAGAGCTGTTTGGAACCAAATGCTTGTATATCTGCAATCGAACATCATATCAGTTGGCTGTTGATATATAGTTTTTTGTTGCCAAAAAGATCATATAATTTTCCTTGAGTCACATCAGATTGGTGCTAAGAAAACTAACCCAAGTCATGATCTTATCATATAAAAAGATGTTGTTTCATATTTTAGTAAGAGGTAACAGATAATGATCAATAAGAATAGGGCAGCAGTGATGAAGATCATATTGTTTGGGGATCTGAATGAATGAATATATAACTAAACTTACCTGGCCCTGACAGCTCGGGGAGCACCACTGTTTGTTGCAGTAGTTAGTGAGATGGTCTCTTGATAAACAAAGTCGTGATTGTAGTTCATGTGATGGTCTCGTCGTTTACAATCAAGTACTTCAATCCCACAGCTAATCTAACTCAAGAGATGGCGGCAAGACACCAGTTTGCCATGGCTGAAAATCGGCTTTGACAGGAAAATGGCGCAACTTTCTACTCGGATAGCTTTGTTCTCTGTAACTTAACGAACATCTCAATGAACTCAGAACGTGTTATGAAAGAAACCCAAAGCTATTGTAAAGAGTCCGGTCTATTGATAGAGACAAAACACTTAATTCACGCAATTTTTCATTTATTTATATAAATTGGAGCTTATTCACGTAATGTAATATAGTAGTTTACACAAATCTTTCGTACTGTTTGGTGTAATGATGAAATCATGTTAAGAAAAATATCAAATTTGATTAAACTGTTACGTAAATAACAACTTATTTTACAAAACTTTAGTGTAATGCAAATAATAAATAGCTCATGGTGAAATTGAAAGTTTTCTATAGTGCACTTGTAATTACATAATCGTATGAAAAACCATTTCCACAAATCTTTGTACTGTGTAGTCTAATCTAGTGATAAATAGCTTATAGTGAAACTGAGAGCTTTATACAACACATTTGTATTTACTTAACTGTAATAGAATATTTTACACAAATCTTTCGTACTGTGTGATGTAATGATAAAATCATGTACAGAAAAATATAAAATTTGATTAAACTGTTGCATAAAAAACAGCTGACCTTACAAATTCTTAGTGTAATGCAAACAATAAAAAGCTTATGATGAAATTTAGTATAGGGGATAAATGCCTTTTGTGAACAATATAAAAAATATATGATAATTTCTTATGATTTCGTGATGAACAATGCACTATGCTTGCGCTATTAAATATATCATTTTTACTCTTAACCCTTGTGTAAATTAAGGCGCTGTGTAGTATCTTTTTCATTTTTCATGTGTGAAAATAGAGTGAAAACATGTTTAGTTTATGTTTTCATCGATTTTGGTGGCAATAGGAGTTGACAATAGAGTATAGATTAGATGAAAACAGTGAAACAACAATAAGTATCTTTGTTGATGTTTTCAAAAACTGTTTCTTGTGGAAAACTATAAGTTGTTCTAATAATTTCATTTAAATGAGTATATATCACTAAATCTCACTGGACCCACTTTTTACATATGAATTCCCTATCATTTTTTGCATAACTCATCACGAAAACCTTATTGTCAATATTATTTTCATATTTTTAATTCATTAATTTTATCATAACTCGGCATGCCCCACTACTCCTCACATTATTTGCATATTTTATTTTTTGTCTCAACATTGATAGTAAATGAGGCCTAATAAAGTAACTAAATATATAAAATTGTCAACTTTCATGATTTCTAGTATAGGTGGCAAATAGATTGGATTCATGGATTGGTGAATTGGATCCATGAATCAAATGGATTGGTGGATTGATTTATGAATCTAAATGACATCTATGTCTTGGATCAAAATGTAATTTTTGAAAATTTTAGGTACTAAAATGTCATAATGAAAATTTGTAGGTACCAAAACATTATTTTTCAATTATAGTTTTCGTATAAAAATATAAATTTTAGGTACTAACATGTAAAATATAAAATTATAGGTACTAAACCATAATTTTTCATTTGATCCATGAATCCACCAATTCAATTGGATTTGGATAAAATGGATTGGATTAAGTGGATAATTTGGTGGATGGTGGATTGGATTCATGGATTTGGATCCTAATTGTCACGTCTAATTTCTAGAATTACCAACTAAACATGTTTCTGCTTTGTAATTTTCATTGTGTCATAATTGTATTATTGATACAATAACTATAAAATTGTAGATGTCGTTTGGATGGACTAGTTGTTCATAGGGCTGGGAAACAGTGCGATCTGATCCAGACCGAACCATATATGCAGTCTACGCTCCAGACCGAGAGGTTAGAGTATATACCACAGATCAAACCACAGACTATACAGTCCAGACCAGACCACGCTTGTGCGGTCTGGTCCAGATAGACCACAGTGAACAAAAATGAACAATTTAATTAGTCAACCGCACAAAAAACTGAACCAATAGCCAAGAAACAAATGCTTTATTTCCTTAAAACATAAATTCCTACATGCATGGATAATTTTGATACCATAAATCTCAGTAAATAATAAAGATACAAAGTCAAAACATCCCAACTTGCACCATAACGTAATAACATTTACATAATGTCATATGGATACATGATCGTCTCTACTCTCTAGTGAAATGTGGTTGTGAATGAAGGAGGGGACGAGATTCTCAAAATTAAGATTGAGACTTGGGTATCGTTGTGGAAGTTGGGAGAGTGGTCAAGTGGGTTGCTAACACATATTGAGAAGTCTGCTGGGCCTACGGTTTGGTCCGGTAAACAGACCGAGAAATCAAAACATCATATAATACAGACCATAGACCAGACCAAACCATATTTAACGGTCTATGGCCCGGACCAAACTGTGCGGTCCGGTTTGGACCATGGTTTTTCAAACGGTCTGGTCAACTTTCCCAGCCCTAGTTGTTCATGTGGTATTTCAGTGGTAATTGGATTGAAGTATCTCGTTTGGTAGAGTCATGCAATGTGGTATTTGGCATGTCGTATTTGGAAAAAGCAGAGTGGTAAAACAAGCTATTTCGAAATAACATGGTAGATGCGAGTTATTTCAAACAACTCGTTTGAGTTATAAATAACTCATGGTCCAAATAACTAATTTAAGTAAAATGGTGCCAAACATGGTATTTATATTCAAATAACTCACTCATATACTCCATCCAAACGTCCCTACCATGATTATGATTGTCATGCTAGCCGACATGTCACCGGTTGAACCTGGTTCAACCTGTGCCGATCATGAAACTGTCCCGACACCACCAACATGACCGGCATGATCGATCTAAGATTTTTTTAAAGTAAAATGACATCGTTTTAGTGAATTTAAATATGAGGACATGTAATTTTATTTGAAATACCATATTTTATTTAAATATCAATATAAATAAATCAAGCTATTATACCACCGATAAAATCTTTCCACTGCTAAACAAGTGCAATGGTATAAACCTAACGACCTTGGCCCAATGGTCCCCACTAAACGGACCTATAATCACCTATCTGCCAAGAGGCTTGCTTGAGGTTGACCGGATCATAAAAGTCAACACTCGATCATCAAACTTCAAACACGCTGCTTGGCTGCTTCCAATCACACGAATGAACTCAGAAAAAATGGTCGCCGGAGCATCCTGGTTAAGCTTGGCCCTCTTCCTCTTCCTCTTCCTTTTCCTTCTCGCCTGCTACTTCTTCCCCAAACGGCGTCCAAATAGCAGCAAACTCCTCCCGCCGAGCCCGCCTTCCCTCCTGATCATTGGCCACCTCCACTTGCTCTCCAGCCACTCCCCTCACCGATCTCTCCACAACCTCGCCGCCAAATACGGCGCCGTCCTACTCCTCCGATTCGGATCCCGCGACGTCCTGGTAATCTCCTCTCCTTCCGCCGTCGAAGAATGCTTCACAGACAACGACGTCGCTTTCGCCAACCGCCCCCACTCGCTAGGCGGGAAGCACCTCAACTACAACTTCTCCACCATCGGAGCTTGCAACTACGGCGACCGCTGGCGCCGCCTCCGCCGCCTCACCACCTTGGAGCTCTTCTCCCCGCCCCGCGTCGCCGCCTTTGCCGCCACCAGGCGTGTGGAGGCTGGACTGATGTTGAAGGAGTTGCTCCACGAAGCCGAGTCCGGTGAAGGACGAGTGAATCTGAGCTCGAAATTCAGATGGTTCGCCTTTAACGCCATGCTTAGAATGGTCGCCGGGAAGCGGTACTTCGGATACGGGGAATTGGATTCGGTCGATAAAGAAGCGAAGGAGTTTCAAGACCTAATTGGCGAATTCACCGCGATTCAGGGGAGCTCTGCTCCTAACGATTTCTTTCCCCTGCTTAGATGGCTCGATTTCGGGAGCCTGGAGAAGAGGATGAAATCAATTATGGACAAATTGGATGGATTCCTGCAGCGCCTTGTTGACACCTTTCGAGAAGCTAACCCTAGATCCGCCGAATCCCAATCTTCTCAACCAGACGGTGGCGAAACCCTAATCGACGTCATGCTGTCGTTGCAGGAGACAGAGCCTGAGTTTTACACAGACGAGACGATCAAAGGCGTTATCCTGGTGAGTCAATTTGAATCATATGATACCGTCTAATTGAGTCCTTATTTGAAATTCGATTTACAAGCCCTAAGCTCATTCAGGTAATGCTTATCGCCGGCACAGAGACTTCATCGACGACAATGGAATGGGCGATGGCGTTGCTGCTTAATAATCCCGAAGCGATGAGTAATTTGGCTTCTGATATTTATCAAAACGTTGGGTTTGGCCGTCTGCTGGAGGAAACAGACTTGCCAAAGCTCAATTACCTGCAGAATGTGATCGACGAGACACTGCGTCTGTACCCGCCGGTGCCGCTGCTGATCCCACACGAATCGTCGGAGGAAACGACTGTGTGTGGGTATAATGTGCCCAAGGGGGTTATGCTGCTTGTGAATGTTTGGTCTTTGCACAGAGACCCAGAGCTGTGGGGTGCAGAGCCGGACAGATTCTTGCCGGAGAGATTTGGAGGAGGCGCGGCGATGATGATGACGAAGAAGGAGGTCAAGTACAAGTTAGTTCCATTCGGCGCCGGGAGAAGGGCGTGCCCCGGTGATGTTCTCGGTAAGAAAGTGGTCGGAATGGCTTTGGGTGCTCTGCTTCAGGCGTTTGAGTTCAGTAGAGTTCATGGAGTGGAGATTGATATGGCTGAGAGTACTGGCTTGACCATGGCTAGAGCTCACACGTTGGAGGTTCTGTGTAAACCTCGCAGCACAGCCATGGCTGAATTCCTCTCCACCATGAGAAGTGATTACAGCACTAGCGGGTAATCTGATGATAGCATCCACTACACGATTGAACTGCGACACAATTTACCGATTACAGATTTGCTCTCAACAATTGAATACTAGAGACATTGAAAAGACAAAGGTTGTTGATCAATCTAATCAATTTTCGCGATCATTCGCAAGCTTTAATCCCCATCTCACATCTTCGCAATGCACAACAGGAGGATGGAGCCCTGCTTCACGATCAACTATGACCTTGGCCCTCATGTCATAGCTAGGCGGGAAATGGAAGCACGGCTCCATGGAAACCGCCTGTGTGCAAGCCGTTTCCGGCTGCCTCTTCTGATCACCATCCCTGTCATTCGGAACGTTGAGAATCCACGGCTTCATTACACCAATCCCTTGAGCAACATACCCGAAAGTCGACCAAGGACTCGTGACCAAAGCATCACACAAGCTCAACAGATACATATCAGCCCACGCCTTCATGTTGTGTGAGTGGCTCTCCGAATGCTGACTCCCTTCGTGACTCGCCTGGTGGAAGCCTACCACTTGTCCACCATCCACGCTCGCTCTCGTCCAGAACATGAACTTCATCTCCTCGTAGAATTCGCGGTACAGCGAACCAATCAGGACAGCCTTCATAGATGTCGAGGTTGTCTTGTTGCTACCACCAGCTGAAGAAGAAGCCGTTGATTCTTGAAGCTGCGGCAGGAGGCTTTCCTTCTGCGTGCACTGCAAAATCTGCTTTGTGAAGAGTGGGATCGGGGTTGCTGTAGGGTTGAACACTCGAATCTGAAGTCCGATTCTCTCATCCGCTCTCGCCAAGTACGCGTCGTAGAATCTGGTAATGAGTCCCCAAGCTTGATTCGAAGGGCTGAATAGGTATCTCCCCAGATGATGGAAAACTGTCTCCTTATCAGGAAAAAGTCTCTCCAGTTCTGGCTTGAAACAGGGCATCAGGAAAAGGTAAGGAATGAAGTACTGATCCGATCTGAGAGTGAGCCATGGTACTCCCTGGAGAAACTCCTGGTTCTCGTCCCTGTAGAAAAGCTTGTCGTAATTGCTGTACTCAAAGGAAAGAAAGAGATGGAGAAGTGACGGCGGCGGAGCCAAATGGGCGAAATTGGCGTTTTTCATCAGCAAGCTGCCAAAGCTATGAGCTTCTCGAAATTGAGAACTGTAGAACTCATCCCTGAAGGGGAAGTCAGCTGGTAGAACCCAGGTAGACTTCTGAAAGGGCTCACAGAAGAGGTCGGCCATGTCGGGACCGAAATCGACTAGAAGGACACGGTTGGTGAGCAGAGCATAGAGGAAAGCAGAGGAAAGGCCAAGGATTCTGTTCCCCAACCCATTCAAGTTAACATTGTAGACTAGGTATCTGCAATAATCGGATTCTGTTATATTGCTCGGAGAATTCTTACCGGTGACCAGTAGTTGCAATGTTCTGTTGAAGGGTTCGGAGAAAGGCTCGCAGTTTTTGTGACGGCGTTCGTAGTCCTGGAGCTTGGAGAGGAAGTAGGGAGATGGAACAGGGGATGAAGATTTCTTGTGGTAGGAGATCTTCTGAGACCTGCTGATGCAGGATTGATCTTGTGGGAGTTCTTGCGCAGGGGAAGAGTTCTTATCATTTTGACTTGGGAAAAATTTCTGGGTGAGATCGGAAAACGGGTTTGGTGAAGTGATGGAGGCTAAGAGCAAGAAGGACATGATGCAGATAGCGATGACAGTCATGGCGGTGAACTTGCAGGAGGTGGGCAGTTCCCTTGATCTCCCCATCTCTTAGATATTGGTTTCTGATCATTAGATGCTGGTTTGATTGGTGTAGATATTGGTTGCAGAATTTGTAGTGTTATAACATGAAGTGCTCCAGAAGAATTGATCCATGGAGTTGCCTAGTTGTTTTTGGTTTATTAATTTGTTAAGCTGTTTTTGGTTACTTGGGATGTACTAAATAAGTTGGAAAAGGGAATTTACATGTGAAAGTTGACCTTAAGATTATGATCCATTTTTTCCTCTATCATTGTTAGTTTTTTTTTATAGACCACGACCTCAATTATTTTGTTAATACGTAAAGTACTAAAAGATAGTGAGGATGGAGTAGAGATGAGGCTTTTTTGAATAATTAGTTTATGAATGAACCTGTATAATATTTATTTAGCACGGTGAAAATTTACTTCTTGATAATTTTTTTTGAGAGTCGAGTATTAATTCCAAATTAGTTGGGCGACGTGCGTTTCGTTGTGGCTACTATATGTTAATTATATCTCATTCATTCATAATGTAAGAATATGCAAATTATCTAAATTTAGATATTCTTTTATGAGGTTTAGATTTGATAAGCAAGCCAAAAACTTAGTGGCATGCATGTCAATATAAGTTTGTTTGGATGATTATGGTATCGGATTTTAGAATAAGAAATTTTGATATCAAATTCTGTAATATACAACCTCTCACCATAGTCCACCATCATCTCTCCATGCACCCATAAATAAATGAGTATTAGTCATGTGACTAAGAAGGATAATATGATTATTATTTTTGATAGGAAATAATATGATTATTATAGTGGGAGAATTCTTAGCTCCAACCAAAGTTGGAAGCAGAAGTTCCAACCAGTCACATGTCAGTTTGTTATTGGTGAATTTTTTTTATATATATTAATTCTTGTTTTATTTAGCATAGTTGAGAACATTAAACAACATTAAGAGAAAAAGAGGCTGGAGCTAAGATCCCAACACCAAATTATTAAAGAACTTAGAATGCTTACTTACAAATGCTTGGGAATCCACCTCACAACCATTACTAATGAGCCCTAGAATCATAATAGAGTCAGCTTTTGAAAGTTTATTACTAACTGTTTCAATCAGTTGTTACTAATCATCTTCCTCAACTATTACCACACAAATATACAAAACCCAAAGAAATCAAAGGGAGGCCTGTTGGCTAGTTCACCATTCAATGAAACCTAATATGAAGAAAAAGAAACGAAGGAGAACAATTGGTTGTGTAAACTCGAAACAAAGCATGACCCTATTGCTTTGGTCCATGCCATGACTAATTACCAGGTCAATTCTTTGTATTAAATGAGCATGACTGTGAGCGTGATTATATGCGAAGTCATATGCAAGTTGAGTGTAGAATGATTTAAAATTTTACGACAAACTACGTTAGATCATGATGATAAATTTATATCAACAAAGTTGTTGCATCCTAATCAAATTTTCCGATCATTAACAAGCTTTAATCCCCAACTCACATCTTCACAATGCACTACAGGAGGACCAAGCCCGACTTCAGGATCAACTACAACCTTGGCCTTCATATCATAACTAGGAGGACAATGGAAGCAGGGCTCCAAAGAAACCGCCCGACTACAAGCCGGTTCCAAAGGCTTCTCCACACCAGTGGGTTAATTGCATGGTTGGTCACTGAGATTACAAAAAACGTTCATGTTTGGTCACTGGAAATATTTAAATCCAATCTTGTTCACTCAAATTAGTCAAATGGTTCAAGTTTGGTCACTCTTCGTCTAACTCCGTTAAATTTGTCTGATGTGGTAGTCAACCCTCAAAGTTGACCGTTAACTCAATGAGGTGACAATTAAAAAATAATAAATAAAATAAATTTTAACCTTCTACCATTTCCAACTCATATTCACAATAAATTAAAATAAAAAAAATAAAAAAATTTTATTATAGTCACAAATTAAAAGAGTAGCTTTCTCCTCCTCCACCACATCCCTTCCCCGCAACCAAATAAGCTTCCAATTCCTCATCCTAGCTCCATCCCCTGCTGCCGTCCCAGCCCGCTCTCCGCCTACTGCACGACCCTTCGATTGCTCGCGACAGCGCAGGTGAGATCTCGTAGCTACGGTGACTACTGGCCATCAAATAATCGACCGAAACAACATCATCCCCTGTTTTGTCGTCGTTCCAGGATCTACATCGAACCTTCCATATACAAAATCAGGGCTCAACATCCCTCGCTCGATGTGACCCACTATTCTGTCAAGATGAAGGGATCTGGGAATAGATACGACCTCCGACCGCTTCTGTGACCGTTGTTATAGGATCCAAGCAGCGAGAATTGTTTTTTATTACACAGAGGTAAGGACGAGAAGTTTTTGGACGAAGAAGTCATGTTCCATGTCGCGAGGTCCAGATTCCTCTGACTGAACAAGGGATTTGGTCGAGGGAAACGAGATTTGGAGGGTTCGCAACCGTCATAATCCCATGCCCTCATTTTCCACTGCCATTTGGTTCTGCAATTGATTCCATCAATTACACTGCTTCGTTTAGCAATTTCGCCTGCAATTCGTTCCATAGGTCAAAGGAGGTGATGGGAGAAGATGAGGGTGAAGTATATATGTTTGTCTCAAACAGATGAAGAAGACAAGGGGAAAGGTCGAGAGAAGAGGAGACAAGAAGGGTCTTGGTTCGCTGGGAGGAATTCGTCAGATGAGGGTGAAGTATACCCTTCGATTGCTCGCGACAGTGCAGGTGATTATGATCGGAGAGCGTCGGGGACGGCGGCAGCGGACAGAGCTAGGGATGGGAATTGGGAGATAGTTTGGTTGAGGGGAAGGGATGTGGTGGCGGAGGAGAAATCTACCCTTTCAATTTGTAACTATAATAATTTTTTTGTTTTATTTATTTTACGTTATTGTGAAAATGAGTTGGAAATGGTAGAAGATTAAAATTTATTTTATTTATTATTTTTAATTGCCACGTCATCGAGTTAACAGTCAACTTTGAGGGTTGACTGCCACATCATACAAATTTAACGGAGTTGGACGGAGAGTGACCAAACTTGAACCATTTAACTAATTTAAGTGACCAAGATTGGATTTAAATATTTTCAGTGACCAAACATGAACGTTTTTTATAATCTTAGTGACCAACCATGCAATTAACCGCCACACAATTCTTAGGCTTCGGGATGTTCAACATCCACGGCTCCAACCCTCCAATCCCCTGAGCTATGTACCCAAAAGTAGACCAAGGGCTCGTCACCAAAACATCACACAAGCTCAACCGATACATATCGGCCCACGCCTTCATGTTGTGAGAGTTGCTCTGATATTGCTGCCTACCTTCATGACTTGCCTGATGGAGACTGACCACTTCACCACTATCTACACCCCCTCTCGTCTAGTACAGATACTTCATCTCCTCATAGAATTCACGATACAACGAACCGATTAGGACAACCTTTGTCACCTTTGGTAGCGTTGTCCTGTTGTTGCTGGCCATGGCTGAAGAAGAAGAAGTTGTTGACGCTTGAAGCTGTGGCAGGAGGTTTTCCTTCTGTGTGCCGTTCCAAATCTGCTTCATCACGAGCGGAATCGGGGTTGATATCGTGTTGAAGACATAGATCTGAAGCCCGATTTGCTCGTCTGCTCTCGCCAGGTAAGCATCGTAGAATCTGGTGATGAGTCCCCAGGCTTGATTGGAAGGGTTGAAGAGATATATCCCCATGAAATATTTGTAAACACGAACACACAATCGTACGACACAGAGTTTACGTGGTTCTTCTCATTCGGTGTGAATGAGCTTACTCCATGGAGAAGTTATGCTATCTCAGCTCTCATTCATGGGTCTGCAGCTGATACACTTACAAGACATATATATGTAACCCTAATCAACACTAATTATCCTAGGGTTACACTAAACCCGTCGGCCTAGAGGGAAAAAGACAATAAACCTCTGTAGCCTTACACGACTGCGTACCATGCATGAATAATGACCATTACACTTCCCCACAAGCTGAGGCATGCAGGTTACAAATGCCAAGCTTGGATAGTAGCGAATGGAAACGATCACCACCAAGACCCTTCGTGAAAAGATCAGCCAACTGTAGGTCAGTATGAATCTTCTGAGGAAGGATCTCGCTAGAGTAACACGATCACGAACAAAGTAGAAATCAAGTTCAACATGCTTCATGCGCTCGTGGAAGACTAGATTGGCAGCTATGTGAAGTGCTTCCTGATTATCACAATAGAGAACTGTGGGACAGGAACAGGAAACACCCATATCACGAAGGAGAGCACGAAGCCAGATGATTTCACTGACTGTGCTATAGCCATGGCCCAGTACTCAGCTTCTGCAGACGACCGGGCGACTACCTGCTGCTTCTTGGTACGCCAGGAGACCGGGGCGCCACCCAAAGGGACTGGCACCCTGCCCAGACTGCGTCTCAATAAGCAGTCAAACGCAGTGAACCCTGCGACGGTAACAGAATGCCCTGACCTGGTGCATTCTTGAGATAGCGAAGAACACGTTTAGCACCCGCCACGTGCTCTGCAGTGGGGGCATGAACATAGCGACTAAAAATGTTGACAGCATAAACAATATCGGGACGCGTAACAGTAAGGTACTGAAGTCGACCGACCAACCGTCGATAGGCAGCAGCATCGTCAGGAGAGACTAGAACCAAGTCGGCATCGTGCCGCATGAGCTGGTGGTGTTGTTCGATGGGAAATTTGCCGGGACGACCACCAGAGAGACCACTCTCACGCAGGAGATCCAAGGTGTATTTCCGTTGGCAGAGAGCAATACCAGCCTTGGATCGAGCTACTTCGATCCCGAGAAAGTACTTTAGAGGACCAAGATTCTTGATTCCAAACTGACTGTGTAGTGTATCCTTGACCTGCCGAATGAAGCCCAGATCATCACCCGCCAAGATGACATCATCCACGTAAATGAGGGCAACAACATATGTTCCCTGACTGCGACGAACGAAGAGAGAATAATCGGCATGAGACCGACAAAACCCAAGACCAACAAGAGTGGACGCAAATTTATCATACCAGTTACGAGAGATCTGTTTAAGTCCGTAAATAGACTTATGCAGACGACAAACACGCGAGTCACAAGGAGCTGCAAAACCTGGCGGAATCTGCATGTATACTTCCTCATGGAGATAACCATGCAGGAAAGCATTATCAATGTTCAATTGGTGTACTACCCAACCACAAACAGCAGCAACTGCCAATAAACAACAAACACTAACCAGTTTTGCCACAAGAGCGAAAGTGTCCTGATAATCAATCCCTTCTGTCCGAGTAAACCCTTTGGAAACCAAACGAGCTTTATACCGTTTAATGAAACCATTTACATTGAACTTGATCTTGTACACCCACTTAGAAGCCACAACACGCTTACCTAGAGGTAGACTGACAAGAGTCCATGTGCCATTGCCAACGAGTGCATCAATTTCTCGTTGCATAGCAACACGCCACTCCTCATTGTGCATGGCATCCCGCCAATGATGCGGCTCGGATTGGCTAGAGACCGCGGCCAAAAAACTCTTGTGTTGAGGGGAAAAACCTCGATACCCTACGTAGTTGGACATCGAGTACTGGATATTGGATGCAGGCAACTCTGTTTCATAACCATCCAATCTTTGAGACACTTGCCGCACACGGTTGCTGCGACGAGGACCAGCCGTAGGAGGCTCAACTGGAGCCAATGAAGAGGGCTGACTTACCAGGACGGCAGTGGACGAGTAGGGTGACAAATCCCATGGCTCGGCCTTTGTGGAGGGAGGAGAAAAGATCTCGGCCTGGACCCGCACAATGGGTGATGTAGGCTCCTCTACTTCGTCCACTACTGGAGGAGTGGCCAAGGGCGAGTGCTGAGAAGAAGATGATGCCGTTGCCGAAAATGGGAACACAATTTCCACAAAAACTACATCCCTTGATGTATAGAATGTACGAGAGGATAGATCAAACAACCGATAGCCTTTCTGAAAAGCCGGATATCCCACAAAGACCGAGCGCTTGCCTCGTTCATCAAACTTAGGAACTCCTTTGTGATTTTCCTTGCCATATGGCAAACACCCTAGAACACGCAGATGTGCATATGAGGGAGGCTTCCCAAACAGAACTTCATACGAAGAACGATCTTGCAGAACCTTGCAAGGCAGACGATTGATGAGGTAGGTGGCTGTCAATACACACTCTCTCCAAAACTTCAATGGCAAATTTGCACGAAAGCGCAGTGCACGGGCCGTCTCGAGCAAATGACGGTGCTTATGTTCGACAACTCCATTCTGTTGTGGAGTGTCGGTGCATGACGTTTGCAGAATAATGCCCCACTCTTCGTAGAAAGCACGAAGACTACTAGTCTGGAATTCAAATCCATTATCCGCTTGTATCCTTGCAACCCGACAATTGAACTGAGTCGCTGCCATATTAATGAACATTTTCAAATAACCCTCAACTTCTGATTTGTAAGCCATCAAATACACCCATGTGGCTCTACTAAAATCGTCGACAATTGTAAGAAAATAACAAGCTCCATTGTGAGTGGGAACCTTGAAACTCCCCCAAATATCCACATGAATAAGTTCTAAACAACGACTAGTCTTTATCGAATGCTTAGGGAATGGAAAACGTGTCTGTTTAGCACGAATACAATCACAACTCTCATTCTTGCACTTATTTTGAACCGAACAAATTAACAGAGGTGTCTTCTTGAGTGAAGGGTGACCCAGACAGGAATGCCACAGCTCCCCCAGTCCTTCTTCACTGCGAGCAGCCAAGACCTGTGGTTCCTCAACACCAGGCAGCCGAAGGAAATACAACCCATCACGAAGCTGCCCCGTCCCAATCGTCTTCCTAGAGTGTAAGTCCTGGATGACGCAAAAGTCGCGCAAAAACGTTAAAGCCACATCAAAATCTTGGGTGAGTCTGCTGACTGACAGAAGGTTGCACTTAAACAATGGAAGACTGAGCACCCGACTAAGCTTCATCCCATTTGACAAACTGATATCCCCAACACGTTTGACTGTAACGCTATCCCCATTCGGAATACTAACAGGTAAATGACCCGATACCTCAACAGAATTTTCTAGCAAGGACTCATTATTCGTAATGTACTCATTGCATCCTGAATCAATGATCCACTCAGACTGTGAAAAAAATTACCTGCCATGTTTACTTGAGGATCGAATGATGATGACAAGTTGGGTTGACCCCTATTGTGATTAAGAAATTCTAGTAACTACTGGACTTGTTCGGAATTCAGCCCAGGAATGCTGACGCCAGCTCCACTTGAGGTTTGCGCTGCACGAGGGTTATGAGGTCTCCCGGCATGCTACCTCTCATGCTCTCCTAGACGAGATTCGTGATCACGATCAGCTTGACGAGGCTTCCGCTCCGGCCAGCCTATAATTTCATAACAATTTTCCTTCGTATGCCCATGGCGCTGACAGTGGCTACATCGCACGCACTCTTTGCGATCAGTGCTACGAGGTCTCTCCTCACATCTACCAGCATCCGGAGCACCACGAACTTGGAGAACTTGGAAGGCAGTGGCGTCAACAGTTGGACGACGATTTGCTGCAATCTGCCTATACTGTTCTTCCGTGGAAACCAAACGATATGCCTCTCCAAGACTCGGAGTGGGCTTCATTGACAAAATCTGATTTTTCATTGTCCCAAAAGCATCACCTAAGCCTATAAGAAAATCGAACAACTTGTCGTTTTCCATATTGCTCATTACCTTCTTGTCGATTTCACAAGTGCACTGACCGCAAGTGCGACGCGGAATGGGGGTAATCGTCAGCATCTCTTCCCAAATTGCTCTCAATTTGGTGAAGAAGGTAGATACCGTGAGCTTCTCTTACCGCAGAGTGCTCGTCATCGTGAGAAGTTCATACGCTCTAGGCGCCGAACCACGACCAAAACGCGCCTCAAGATCAGTCCACATCTCGCGGGCTGTCTTAGCGTCACGAATGGAGCTACGTACCTCCTTGTACATGGCTGTCTTTAGTCATCCTTTGACAAGAGCATCACACTGAAGCCATGCTTCTTGTAGCTCGCCCTGAGTCGATGGCTTGATAACACTTCCATCAACGATACCGAGTTTGTTTTTGGCAATCAAGGCCTCGGTCATATCTGTGACCCACTCTCCATAGTTGGAGTCATTCAACAGTTCACCAACGAACAGCTGACCTGGGTTGTCTGATGCTTGAATCTTCAACGCGGCGGGGACGACTACGGGAAGTATTATGACATTGCCTCCATTGCCGCCACTGGTATCACCATCAGAACCCTTGCTGCTCATGAAGATAACTTAGGGCTTAGAAAGCCAGCTCTGATACCATGAAATATTTGTAAACACGAACACATAATCACACAACACAGAGTTTACGTGGTTCTTCTCATTAGGTGTGAATGAGCTTACTCCACGGAGAAATTATGCTATCTCAGCTTTCATTCATGGGTCTGCAGCCGATACACTTACAAGACATATATATGTAACCCTAATCAACACTAATTCTCCTAGGGTTACACTAAACCCGTCGGCCTAGAGGGGAAAAGACAATAAACCCCTGTAGCCTTACACGACTGCGTACCATGCATGAATAATGACCATTACACCCTAGGTGGTGGAAAATTGTCTCCCTTTTAGGAAACATTTTCTCTAGTTCCGGCCTGAAAGAAGGCATCAAGAAAAGGTAAGGGATGAAATACTCATCCCTTCTCAGAGTGAACTAGGGGACTCCCCGGAGAAACTCCTTCTTTTCATCCTTGTAGAAAAGCTTGTCGTGATTGTTGTAATCGAAGGAGAGATAGAGATGAAGAATTGACGGCGGTGGAGCGAATTGTGCGACTTTGCGGTTTCTCATCAGGAAGTTGCCGAAGCTATGAGCTTGCCGAAACTGAGAATCGTAGAACTCATTCCTGAAGGAGAAATCATCAGGCAAATGGTCAGGTGGAATTCTGAAAGGGCTCGTAGAAGAGATCAGCCATGTCGGGGCCGAAATCGACTAGAACGACAAGATTCGTGAGCATAGCGTAGAAGAAAACAGAGGCAAGGCCGAGCATTCTGTTTCCCAAGCCGTGTAAGTTAACCGTGTAGACTACGTATCTGTAATACTCGGATTCTGTTTCGTTGCTCAGTACATTCATCCCGGTGATCAATAGTTGTAATGTTCTGTTGAAGTGTTCGGAGAAAGGCTCGCAATGTTTGTGACCGCGTTCGTAGTCACGAAGCTTGGAGAGGAGGTAAGGAGACGGAACATGGGAGGTCGATTTTTTGTGGTAGGATATCTTCTGGGAGCTGCTGATGCAGGATTGATCTACTGGGAATTCTTCAGCTGGGGAAGAGTTTTTATCATTGTGAAATGGAAATAATTTCTGGGTGAGATTGGCAAATGGGTTGGGGATATGGTGATGGAGGCTATGATTAAGATGGACATGGCAGAGAGAGCACTGACCGCCATTGATGTGAGCTGGTAACCCATTTCAAATTTCCTGCATCTAGAGTGAAAGTAGGAAGAATATTTTGGTCTTTACAATAATTTTTTTATTCATTAAAAAGACACTTACTAGGATTCAAACCATGGCTACTTTATTGAAAAGCAAAGATCATAACCAATCACACTAAGTACATTTGTTGCATCTTTTTAAATTTAAAACATATAATCGCAGAGAGGAAAAAACTCTTCCCCATTTCAAACTCCCTGCTCCAGGAGCGTTTGTAGGAAGGGTAGAATAGGGAGCGTCAATTTTTTTCTTTTTCCTCTGTGGAACGGGCCAACTTACCGTACACATGCGGATTTAAACGGGTCCCGGAGTGTCAATTTTTTTATATAAGTCCTTTTATTTATCTGTGGTGGTAAAATATATATGAAAAGGAAAAAACAATACTCCTTTATATTGCTAAAAAGAAAAAATTTTAACAATAAACTAATGCATGGATTCTAATGGGCTAACCGCTAATCATAAAATAAAAAAGTTGAATGGGTCTGACCTACACGAGATTTTCCCATCAAGTAAAATAAATGAACATTATGAGTTTGCCATTCTAAAACAAGCTATTTCTCTAGCATAATATATATTATGCTATTATTTTATATCTTAGTGGCTAAAATATAATATATTTTAAAGTTATTCAATGGTTCAACCTCGACCAACCCAATTAGTCCAATTTTTATCATTTCAAATATATATTATGTAATTATTTGATATCATAATGATTAAATTATAGTGTATATTATAGGGAATCGTTTGGTATTTGTTAGTAAAAAACTAAACAGAAAGATCTATTTGGTTATTTTTAACATTAAAACGATCCTAAACATTTTCAGTTTCCTTTTGAAATTTTATAATTTTATTCCCGAATCAGTGATGTGCAGATGGCGAATTGCAGTCATCTCTTTTCTTTCATTATTTTTTATTTTCAAATAGAAGTTTAAAAGTAAAGAATAATTAGAGTTTGGCATGGGTCGGTTAAACAGGCTGAATTTCAAGTTTTGACCCGTTTTGATCAAGTCTAATTTATAATCACATGGTTCCCCGATATCCGATAAAAATCTCATTCCAAACCAGTTTGGCAGGTGAGTCCGTGTTTACCACCATTTTCTAGGGATACAGGAACGGTGGTTCCTATCCCAAATCGTGTTGTTCATTCTTGATTTCTTTAGATTTTATCATGGCTTGGCAAAAAACCTGAAACCACAATGATGACAAGATGAAAGTTTTGTAAAGCAAATTAATCGGCCAACGGGCCGAGTAAAAGCTAGCAACGATTGTGAGATGCTCATTTCCCGAAAACCGGCGGGATAGACGATTTTTTATTCGATTTTCTAGAATTCGGTTTTTATAAAACTTACTCCACCTCATCATATTATCAGAAACAATATTGTTTCACAAGGTAACAGGTACTTGATTTTGGTTCATAAGGCTGATTTTTGATTCGTTGCATCATTCATGTGTCTCATACTAAAATTCACTATTTTTATCACATATTTCCCAAAAAAAAAACTATACAACAATAAGCTATACACTTCATTACATTATCAAATTTCATACCTCACCTTCCTCCGGCCAAATGGCCGCGCCCACGCTAGTTGTTTTGTTAGGGGTCGTTTGGAAGTTGCGAATGTTAAATCGTTGCATTGTAATGAATCACTATAATATAAATGCATGTATTGATACAATGGATGCATTTTAACAATACATTGTTTGGTTGTTGAGATTCTACTTTATGCATTGTTTTACATAAAGTTACTTTTATGGAGAAATGTCACATTTACCCTCAACTTTTAGAATAAGACAAAAACTATCGGGGATATAAATGAAAAGAGAAAATTGACACAAATCTAAAACCAACAATCACAACTTTTAGTTGAGATTGTATAATGCATCATTTTTTGTGATTGTTGGTGGGACCTAACTAAAACAATGGATGCATTGTTTAACACTTTGACACTTCCAAACATTGTATTATGCACAATATATGTATTCAACAAACACAACTCTAATAATCACAACTTCCAAACGATCCCTTAGTACCGGACATATAGGTTGGTTGTCGGCAACGACTTCTTAGTTCTCGATTCTCTCAGGGTGGAGTTCGATTCCGGCGAATCATATGGAGGAGGGATCGTTGGGAGTTGGGACTTGGGATAGTGGCGCGCCCCGCCGACGGATGAGTTGGTTGTCGAACGTGTTGAAGGCCCAATTCATTGGGCTGTATCCTGTAAATACGAGTGGGCAACACATAAATGGGCTTGCAAGTTGTATTAGAGTAGGTATGGGCAATTCTAGATCCCCTACAATTTTGTTGATGTTGTGGTTGTAGTACGGCTGTGACAATTGAGATACAATCATACATAATGAAACATGTTTGGTTGGATTTTCTGAGAAATTATGAAATTGGCAATTTTTTTTTGTTTAGTTACTTCATTAAGCTTTGTTTTTTATTAATAGCGAGAGTAAGATGAAAGTCGAAAATAATGGGAGGAATAGTGTGACATAAGGAGTTATGATTTATGAGATACAAAAAAAAATATTGACAATAAGGTTTTCAAGTATGAACTATGCATAAATGGAGAGGAAAAAATACATTATAACCTTTATAAATTAATATAGCCGGTACCGTGAAAATTATTAATTTATAGTAGTTATTAATTAATCAATGAATTAATAATTAATAATTAATTATTAATTTCTTCAAAATATTTCAAGTTCATACGATAACTTATCGCATTTTACGTATTCATTGTACTAAAATTTAATAGAAAAAAATATGTATTCTTCCAAGATAAATGTATTCAATGTATTCTTGTAGATGGTCTAGATTCATGTTTAAAATTACTTGCACTCCTACATTCATGCATTCTTTTGTTTTTTCAGGAACATCATATGTGGTTGTTCATCTATTCTTGAAATATCTTGTGGATATTTATGAGGCCATAACAACATTGGAGGAGGATACAAATGATGAGATACAACGTATGAAATTTAGGAAGCGAAGGTAGCAAAATATTGGTTTTAGGCCGATAATGAGGAGAATATAAAGATGAATTGTTTGATCTACATGAAGTGTGTTAGATCCTAGGCGTAAATGTGGTATGTTTCTTCTTTCTCATTTTGCTTTACTTTTCCTATTTAACAGTTTACCTATCTCAGTTTGTGAATGACAATTTCCCATCTGATAACCATGCCTTCAAGGGTTGTTCTCGATAATTGGCTAACTGAAAAATCAAACTGGCAGGCGGGTGCCAGCTACGGTGCATAGTTTAAGATTGTTATCGTTGACGATTAACTGCTTCTAGGCTTTATTTTAACCGTAACTGAACTGCTTAACACTCCTTGCCAATGTATGAAATTGGGGGGGGGGGGGGGGGGGGGGGGGGGAGCTGGGTTGGGTTGAGACTGTACATGGGCGCTGGACCGTGGCACGGCCCGTCAGTTTTCGTACCGTGCAATGCAAGCCCATTTTGTTAACTTTGCTAGGCCCGGCCCAGGCCCGGGCACGGTTCGAATCGTGCCGTGCCTATTCGTGTTATGCTCGTATTCGTGTTTAATGAAAAGGACGAAAACAAAAGAGAGAATGAAAAATAAGGTGAAAATTGGACGGAGAGAGATAATATTAATCGATAATGTCTGAGAAAAGTAACAAATCAGTGGGAAAAGCAAATTGGAAGTATAGCGAGTGTGATTTGGCTTTGTTTAATTCTTTATCCATTTTTACTTATGTTAGTAATTACGTATATATCTTTATGACACTTCTAACAACAACAAATAATTATTTTTCTACTTGTGTTTTGTAATATTTGAACCTATAATTCTTTTTATATTATTTTCGTGCCATGTTCGTTCTTATACTCAATAAAGTCTCGAAAATATTAGGCCCGACACGGCCCACTTATATACCGTGCCCGTGCTCGTGCCCATGAAGTTTAGGTCCGGCACGACCCATAAATTATTCGTGCTCGTGCCGGGCTGGCCCATTTATTTCGTGCCCGTGCTCTAACCGTGTCCTGCCGTGCTAGCCCGTGGATGGCACTGCCCGGTGCCACGTACAGTTGAGACTTATGAATGATGAGAGCGAGTGAGGTGGACTTGGGAGTTGAGCTGAGGTTTGTGAGAAGTGAGGGGAGATTGGGAGTGCAACTGTGCGAGGTGGGTTGGGCTTGTGAGACTGAAGTTGAGTCGCATAAGTGATCTAGTTTAAAATTGGTGCGACACTGTTTTTTAACCTCCCCACAACTAGTGGCCAAAAAATAAGACGGTAGTAAAAAAAATCACCATCTCCCCATGCAACCACAACAACACAATAGTGACCAGCCTAAAGAGCAGTACCAGACAACAAAACTGACAGGATCCTTTCTAAAGAGTATAAAGTCCATTCAACAAAACTGAAGTCCATCTACTCTACAAGACAAGAAAGTGAAACTATCGGCCAATAGAGAAACCTAAATCAAAACACCTTTATTCCAATCTCTCAATTTGCCGGCCATTGACAAGCTTTAATCCCCAGCTTACATCTTCACAGTGCACAACAGGAGGGCCCGTCCCTACTTCACCATCAACCACAACCTTCTTCTTCATGTCATAACTTGGAGGATAGTGAAAACACGGCTCCATAGAAACCGCCCGTCTACAAGCCCGCTCCGGCAGCCTATCCCCACTGTAATTGGTATTCGGAACGTTCAGAATCCATGGCTTCACCCTTCCAATCGCTTGAGCAACGTACCCGAAAGTCGACCAACGACTCGTCACCAAAACATCACACAAGCTCAATAGATAGATATCAGCCAATGCCTTCATGTTGTGCGAGTTGCTCTCCGAATTCTGGCTGCCTTCATGACTCGCCTGGTGAAAACCAACAGATTCTCCACCACCATCCACACTCGCTCTCGTCCAGTACGCGTACTTCATCTCCTCGTAGAATTCGCGGTACAACGAACCTATCAGGACAGCCTTTGTCTTCGTCGACGATGTATTGTTGGTGACCTTGACAGAAGAAAAGGAGGAATTTGTTGACACTTGAAGCTGAGGCAGGATCCCTTCACTCTGTGTGCACTTTAAAAGCTGCTTCGCGACGAGTGGGATCGGACTTGCTTTGGTGTTGAAAACGCGAACCTGAAGCCCGATTCTCTCGTCAGCTCTCGCCAGGTACGCGTCGTAGAACCTGGTGATGAGCCCCCAAGCTTGATTCGAAGGGTTGAAGAGGTAATTCCCCAAGTGGTGGAAAACTGTCTCCTTGTCAGGAAAAAGCCTCTCCAACTCTGCCCTGAAACGAGGCATCAGGAAAAGGTAAGGAACGAAATACTGATCCGATCTCAGGGTGAGCCATGGGACACCCTGGAGAAACTCCTGATTCTCGTCCCTGTAGAAAAGCTTGTCGTAATCGTTGTATTCGTAGGAGAGGAAGAGATGGAGAATCGGCGGCGGCAGAGGCGGGACCGATTGGGTGAAATTGCTGTTGTCACGAAGCAGGGTACCGAAGCTATGAGCTTCCCGAAATTTGGGACTGTAGAATTGGTTTCTGAAGGGGAAGCCGTCAGGTAATAACCAGGTGGAATTCTTAAATGGTTCGCAGAAGATATCAGCCATGTCGGGGCCGAAATCGACTAGCAGGACTCGATCCGTGAGCAGAGCGTAGAGGAAAGCAGAGGAGAGGCCGAGCATTCTGTTCCCCAACCCATTTACGTGCAGCGTAAAGACGACGTATCTGTAATCGGATTCAGTTGAGTTGGTAGTTGAATTTCCGGTGAGTAGTTTCAATGTTCTGTTAAAGGGTTCGGAGAAAGGCTCGCAGTTCTTGTGGCGGCGTTCGTAGTCGCGGAGCTTGGAGAGCAGGTATGGAGATGGAACAGGGGATGGAGATTTTTTCTGGTATGAGGCTTTCTGGGTTCTACTGATGCAAGATTGGTCTTGTGGGGGTTGTTGTTCAGGGGGAGAGTTCTTGAGAATTGGGGAGAAGAATTGCTGGGCGAGATCGGAGAATGGGTTGGGGAAGATGATGGAGGTGATGAGTAAGATGGACATGGCTGAGAAAGCGGCGATGGCCATGGCTGTGAACTTGTGGGAGGTGAGTTCCGGTGATCTCCCCATTTTTTTTGATGAGGTTGGAATTGAAATTTTCTTGAGGCGGCTCTGTTTTTGTTTCCCCTGAGATATGTTGGGTAGATATATGTTTTCAGAATTATTGGTGGAGTTGCCAAATTGTTTTAGGCTGGTAATTAATTTATTACTTTATGTACGAAGAAGAGGAAAGGGAATTTAAGGGGGGAAATATGGCAGTAAGATCAATATTCTTTCTTTTGTAATTATCATTATTTGTCTATAATGGACATTGTCATCAAAGTTAGTACTTGATAAAGGTGCCAAGTATGATAAAAACCAACAATAAACTAATAACACGACACCGATTTACGTGGTATCCTCGTTCGAGAGAACGAGACTAATCCACGGAAAGCTCACACAAGGAGCTTTCAGTTCTTTTATTAGGGTTTGATACTTTCACTTACACTTAGCTCGGCTGCTACAAGAACATATATATAACCCTACGCCACATTCTCCTAGGGTTATTCAACCGACTACTAATGCTAAACATAATTACCAATCAACACACAAACTTCACAAAACGCACACCGCCAAGGACGTCGTCGTACAAGGCATGCATGCATACGTCCGACAACACTCCCCCTCAAGCGAAGGAGTGAATGTCATAAAGTCCAAGCTTGCTACGGAGGACGCCGAACTGCTCAGCTCCCAACCCCTTGGTAAAAACGTCAGCTGTCTGCTCGTCTGTATGAATCTTCTGCGGCGCAACTTCACCTGAGATAATGCGCTCACGAACGAAGTGGCAGTCCATCTCCACGTGCTTCGTCCTTTCGTGAAAAACCGGATTGGCAGCTATGTGCAGAGCTGCCTGGTTATCACAGTGTAAAGGAGTTGGCTGTGAAAGGGACACCCCAAGCTCTCGGAGCAACCACCGCAACCAAACTATCTCACTGACCGTAGCTGCCATCGCTCGATACTCGGCTTCTGCTGATGACCTGGCCACAACCTGTTGCTTCTTGGTTCTCCAAGATACCGGACTATCACCCAAACGAACAAAGTAACCCGTAGTAGACCGACGAGTACGTAGGCATCCACCCCAATCAGCGTCACAGTAGGCATGTAAAGTGAGGTCGCCATTGGAGCGGAAGAAGAGACCCTTTCCAGGAGCCCCTTTGAGATAACGCAGGACTCTATGTGCTGCAAGTTCGTGCTCCACACGGGGAGAATGAACCGCCTGACTGAGTATGTTAACGGCATACACAATATCAGGTCGAGTAACCGTCAGATACATTAACCTTCCAACAAGACGACGATAACCAGCAGGATCCTTTGCCGCAGGCCCTTCGAGAGATGTGAGATGGTGATTCTGCTCTATGGGAAAGGCACAAGGACGTACTGCTTCAACTCCAGCATCCTTGAGTATGTCCAAGGTGTACTTACGCTGGGACAAGACGATCCCAGCACGAGATCGGGCAACTTCAATGCCCAAAAAATACTTCAAGGTACCGAAGTCCTTGATACTGAACTGCTGGTGAAGATGAGTCTTAACCTGTTGAATAACATCAAGATCATTCCCACCAAGGACAACGTCATCAACGTAGATGAGCGCGAACGTGAACGAGTTCCCATTCTTGTAGGTGAACAGGCTGTGATCCGCGAGTGATTGAACAAAACCGAAGCTCTGGAGGGACTCAGTGAACTTCTTGAACCAGTTTCGGGAAGCTTGCTTCAATCCATACAGGCATTTACGAAGACGACATACACGGTTGTCCCCCGGTCGAGTAAATCCGGGTGGAACTGCCATATAAACTTCTTCATCGAGATCGCCGTGTAAGAAGGCGTTGTTGACGTCTAACTGATGGAGAAACCAGCCCTTTTGAGCAGCAACGGCCAAAACACAGCGAACGGTGACAAGCTTGGCGACGGGAGCGAACGTGTCGTGATAGTCGACACCTTCGATCTGCGTGAAGCCCTTCGCGACTAAACGCGCTTTATAGCTCTCAATCGTCCCATCCGGACGAAACTTTATTTTGAAGACCCATTTGGCAGCAACTACCTTCTTGCCAGGGGGCAGGGGTTGGAGCTCCCAGGTACCGTTGGCTTCCAAGGCCGCAATCTCGCGTTGCATGGCTTCTCGCCAACACGCGAACTGCATGGCCTCATAAAAGTTACGAGGCTCAGATAGAGCCAAGACAGCTGCAAAAAAAAAACAGCATGGTGAGGAGATAAACGGGAATAGTCAACAACAGCGGAAAGGGGATACTTGGCAGTGGTAACTGAGCGAGAAGTGGGTAGCGTGACCTCGTAATCATGCTGTAAGCGAACAGGCAGAACATGTTGACGGAGACTGCGACGGGGAGCGGCCGGGATAGAGTGCCCAGCCGGTGGAGTGGAACTGGCGGTAGGCGAAGCTCCTGGACCTTGAAATTGGGGTGGTGACGACGTGCTTGCCAAGTCACGGGACGGAGAAGAGGCAACCGGCGAGCACGGCTGCAGAACTGGGGACGTGGGAACGTCTTGAGGTGCAGACTGAATACCAACCTCGGCCTCCTGTGCTGGGAAAGGATCGGCAGCGGGGGGACTCACTGCGGTAGACTCGATCGGAGAGGCAAAAGGCAGGTCACCCTCACAGAACACGACATCGCGAGATGTGAAGATGCGGTGGCTCTCCAGGTCGTACACACGGTATCCTTTTTGGCCCATGGGATAGCCAATAAACAAACAAGCTCTCCCCCTTTCTTCGAATTTATCCAGATGATGACTGGTGTTCTTCGCGTAAACAAGACAGCCAAATGTACGTAGATGGCGGTACCCAGGTGCGCGCCCGAACAGACGTTCAAAGGGTGTCTTGCCTTCGAGAACACGAGACGGCAACCGATTGATCAAATATGCGGCGGTGAGAACACATTCGCCCCAAAACTTCAGGGGAAGATTAGCATGGAAACGAAGGGCACGAGCTGTTTCTAACAAATGCCTGTGTTTACGTTCGACTACCCCGTTTTGTTGAGGGGTGTCAACGCATGAGGTTTGTAGAATTATGCCCTCCTGCTCATAATAATCCTTAAGAAAATTCGTCTGAAACTCCAACCTGTTATCAGCCTGTATTTTCTTAACGGGCTGTCCATGTTGACGAACTGCTTGATTACAAAACGTGACTAAGAAGCGAGCAACTTCTGACTTAGTCTTCAACAAATAAACCCAGACTCCACGGCTGTAATCATCGACGAGAGTAAGGAAATAGTGAGCACCATTGAGAGATGGTACACGGTAGCCACCCCATATATCAGCATGAATCAACTCAAAAGGCCGAGTACTCTTTATTGAACTCAAAGAGAAAGAATTGCGAGACTGTTTAGCTCGTAAACACGAAGAACAATGATCCTTTAACAACTGAGAACTAGTTGGAGACAACTTTAACAAAGAAATCTGATTTCCGGAGGGATGCCCCAAGCGGCTATGCCACAACTCCGGTGTTACGGACTGCTTCCCTTGCGTCGCATGGACCATAGCTTCCCTCACATCATCGAACAAACGCAAGTGGTAGAGCCCGTCATGCTGCTTACCCATCCCAATCATCCTCTTGCATCGTAAGTCCTGTAGTACACAGAAATCGTCCAAGAAGATCAGTGCGATAGGGAAGTCTTGGGTGAGACGGCTAACGGATAACAAATTGCACTTGAATTCGGGAACTAACAAAACCCGGGGCAAAACCATTCCATTCCCCAACTGTACAGAACCAATTCGACCGACCCCAATAGTGTCACCATTTGGGATGTTAACTTGTAAACCTGTCTCACTTGCCCCTCGCATAAGCATGCATTGATCGTTTACTATGTGTTCGTTACACCCGGAATCGATAACCCAATCACCGAGACTAGAAAAAGTACCTTGCATATGTGATGCGACGGAATCAAGAGTTCCTGAATCTGCCTTGAGGAAGTTACGAAGCTGTTCCAACTGCGAGAGAGAGAGACCAGGGACAGGGCTCTCGCCGGCCTCGACGTTGGCCGCTTTTGGTCCTGAACGTGGCCGATCAGAGGTCTTGCGCTTCCCGCCGCCTTCAACACCTTTCTCTGGCCAACCAATTAGATCAAAGCACCTTTCTTTGGAGTGGCCGGTCTTTCCACAGTGGGTGCACTTGGTCCGTTCCCTCCCGTCAGGACGAGAAGAGGCAACATCACGTGTGAAGAAAGCGGCAGCCTCGGCAGCGGGACGATGAGTCGAGGCAATGCGACGTTGATGGGCATCGTTTGCTACCAACTGGTAAGCTTCAGAGAGGCTGGGCATCGTCTTCATCGAGAGAACCTGGGTCTTGACGGTGGAAAAGGATTCGTCGAGACCCATGAGAAAGTCGAACAGCCGGAAAGTTTCTTCACGCTCCTGATTCTTCTTGTCCTGGCCACAAGTGCATAACCCGCAGGTACAAGAATGAAGGGGAGCCATGGTTTGTACCTCTTCCCACAAGGAACGAAGCTGGGTGTAGAAAGCTTGGACGGTAAGCTTTTCTTGCGGGAGGCGACTGATCATGCGCCGAACTTCGTAAACACGAGTGGCACTTCCTTGGGCAAAACGTTCACGAAGGTCATTCCAAACCTCCCGAGATGTTTTGGCGTGACGCAACCCGCATCGGACTTGCTTATCTATGGCACAGGTCAACCAACCTTTAACCATAGCGTCGACCCGTTTCCATTGCGCCGCTTGCACCGTCGACGAAACCTAATTTGTTCTTGGCAAGAAGCGAGTTGGTCATGTCGTGGATCCAGTCGGCGTAGTTGGAATCGGTGAGGAGCTCCCCAACATAGACTTGGTTGGGGTTGTCGGACGGACTGAGGAACAATGGGGATGAAGGATCCATCCCAGAACTGAAACCACTGCCGCTGGACGAGCTGATCGATTTGTCTTTATCGTCGCCGCCAGCCATACTTGAACGAACCCTGTGATCGTCTTCACAGCTCTGATACCATGATAAAAACCAACAATAAACTAATAACACGACACCAATTTACGTGGTATCCTTGTTCGAGAGAACGAGACTAATCCACGGAAAGCTCACACAAGGAGCTTTCAGTTCTTTTATTAGGGTTTGATACTTTCACTTACACTTAGCTCGGCTGCTACAAGAACATATATATAACCCTACGCCACATTCTCCTAGGGTTATTCAGCCGACTACTAATGCTAAACATAATTACCAATCAACACACAAACTTCACAAAACGCACACCGCCAAGGACGTCGTCGTACA